GACTGAGTCGATAGTTGTCCCTATCTTTAAAAAAGGTTCACGTCGTCCCTGTAACAACTATCGGGGGATAAGTCTACTTCCGATTGCGTCCAAGCTATTGGCTTCCGTCATACTTCATAGGTTGTTCAAAACCCGAGAAAGATTGACTCGCGAGGAGCAGGTTGGTTTTCGTTCTGGTTGAGGATGTATTGATCATTTCTTCACCCTCCACCAAATGTTAGAACATCGCCATACTTATCACTGGCCAACAATCATAGTGTTTCTTGACATCAGGGCTGCCTTCGATTCGTTAGACAGGACTGTTCTCTGTGATTGTCTGTTGAAGAAGGGTGTGCCTGAGAAGTTTATTAACATCCTAAAGGCCCTATATACAAACACCTCAGGTAGAGTGAGGGCATACAACTACCTTTCTCCATTGTTCCATTCGAGCAGTGGGGTTAGGTAGGGTTGCCCAATCTCACCACTCCTCTTCAACTTTGCCATCGACGACATTCTGGAAACAGTTCTGATGGATGTAAGTAATGGCGGTGTGAGTCTGTTGCCCGAAGAAAGACTTCTCGACCTTGAGTATGCGGATGATATTGTCTTACTGTGCGATAATGCCCAAGGCAAGTAGTCGAGAAGTTCGTGTATCTAGGTAGCTGCATAAGTGCTGGTGGGGGTGTGAGTGATGAGATCAATGCACGTATAGTGAAAGCCAGAGCTGCTTATGCCAATCTGGGCCATCTTTGGCGCCTTCGTAATGTAAGTCTGGCTGTAAAAGGTCGGACCTAAAACGCTTGTGAAACCTGGTCTCTCCGAGTTGAGGATGTTAGACGACTCTCTGTGTTCGATCATCCTTGTCTCCGAAGGGTTGTTGACATCCAGTGGCAACACCATGTCGGTAATGCAGAGGTTCGGCATCGTGTGTTCGGGCCGAGTAACAATAATCCGATTGGTGTCACCATTTTGAAACACCGACTTCGGTGGCTTGGACATGTTCTACGAATGTCGTCCCAGAGAATTCCACGTCGCGCATTATTTGCCGACTCTGGGACTGGTTGGAAGAAGCGCACAGGTGGTCAATGCATGACATGGTGTCGTGGTATGAAAGAAAGCTGCAAAGGACTGGCTTGTGTTGGTCCTTCACGACTCCCTGGTTGGGGTCCGAGAGATGGTGCCACACGGTGGCTAGAGACGTTATCAGATATGGCTCAGAATAGAAGTCAGTGGCGATCCTGCTGTAACCTTCTTTTACTTTCTTCATAAAAATGTGGATGTGTCTTTCTTAAGTGAAAGATTTCTTCTGATTGTACCTTTCCGTTCCCCCATTTTTACCATTATTATTATTACACCACCTTACATTAATCTCTTCGTTATTATTCTCTCTCTTTTTTCTTTTCCTTCCCATTAAATTCTCATTGTTTTGTATGGCGCATATATATTTAGCGTATTCTTGTACCAATGTTTATGTGTTCAAATAAATAAATAAGTAAATATAATCTTGCTTTCGCTACCCACCACTGTTCACGATCACTGCGTAGTTTTCTTATCAGCCTTCGCTTAAGCTGCTTCCGCTCTTCGTTATGTTCAGAGCCGGATGGGGTGAGTTTCCGATCATCCATCAGCACGGTAGTTGCTGCTGAGATCCAGTGTTTCTCCCCAACCTTGTGATTTACCGTACTAGCAGATATCATTGCTGTTTCCACAGCTTTTCGGATATCATTCCATGCTGCATCGGGGTGGGCATCACATACATGGCTGCCTAACTGTTTTCCTAGTTGTTCCTGAAATATACTCTTAGCTTGACTATCATTAAGTAGGCCCTAAGAGGTTTCCTTGCAGCGTCTTTCCTACGTCCAGTAAGACGCAAGCAAATACGCGCTCGCACTAGAGCATGATCTGAATCTAGGCATGTGCTCCAGAATGAGCGACAGTCTTCTATCGAGCCCCTCCATCGGTGGCTGATAGCGATGTGATCTATTTGGGTCCAACGTTGGGACGAATTAGGGGGTCGCCATGTTAAAAGATGTTTTTCCTTATGCTTAAAGTTAGTATTTGCAAGGAACAGGCGGTTATCTGAGCATAGCTGCAACAGACGGTCGCCATTATCTGTTCTTTGAGCCACGACACCATAAGATCCACCTAGGTGTCTTTCCCTTTCGCTTAGTTTACCTACTTGAGCATTAAAGTCACCGGCCACTATTACTACATCCGAGCGCCTAGCTTTTCGGAGAAGGTCGGAGAGCTTTCTGTAAAACTCATCTTTTACATCATCTGAGCTGCAGTCAGTGGGAGAATAGGCAGAGACGACGAAGAGGCAACGACGAGTGTCCCTATCTTTCCGGATCCTTACTGTTCCGTTCAGTCGGACAGCGCACAAACGACTGTCTACTGGGATCCACTCTAAGAGAGCTAGTTCTGCCCTAGGACTCAATGCTATACCTACGCCGGCGAGGCCACGGGAAGCAGAATCAGGGCTTCCAGATACACGAAGCGTAAATCGAGTCGGTTCTTTATTTTGGCATGGTGAGGTCAAATGAATGACGCTACTCGGATCCTGTATGCGCGTTTCGGAGACGCAGCACACATCGATGGCGCGAGATTCTAAAGTTTTAGCTAAGGAAGCCTGCTGTCCTATTTGGCAAAGTGTTCGTACGTTAAAAGCTCCTACGTGTAGTTTAGAGCGTGGTTTCAGGAGACCAGGAATGGCGTTCCACGTACTCAAATCGTTTGCCCTAGCGGTGCGAGATGATAAAGAGACGTGAGGAGGGTTAGTCATGGAGATAAGAGAGGTATTAGGAGGTGTAGGAAGGATTTGAATGTGACCAACTTGGTATCGTGTGTTGTTACGGGTACGAGGGCTGATGTCACTTCACGTCTTCCCATACCGTGGAAGGGTACTTCTTAAGGAACCACCTGAAAGGAAAGTTGGATTAGTGTCGGTCTTGACGACCTGGGGGTGTAACCACAGAGCCCAAGGGACAACTGCTTGAGGCCGGTTGCGCACGGCCTTTTTGTGGAAGGTTTTTGACGTGTTAGCTCCGTTCTTCAAAGGGCCTTACCGCCGGAGACGGAGACCCATGAGGTAAGGTGAGGCGTGACATTTTTATGGCCGACCTTTTCTAACCACTTCCTTCGTCGTGGGAAGGCAGCATCGCTGCAGATGCTGGTTGTCCGAGGGAACCACCTTACTGCTGCCACACCCCTCTACAGTCAGCAGTACGACTTCGCCCTCATACATTGAGTTGCTGCTTTTAGTCTTACCGTTCTCCAATCGACCTGCCTGGCATGGTAGAACCTACAGGAACATATGTTCCAGCCAATATAGCTCGGTTGGGTCATCACGATAGGTAATCTCGACCACCACGTCAAGGTTGCAGCTACCGTCGGGAGTACTAAATAGCAAAGATATCGAACGGTTGTTGATTTGTGTCATGAATTAACTGAACCTGAGGATGTAATTGGTCAGACTCCAGCTTAGTGATTTAAAAGTAACGTGGTCGCTGCAGCAGTACAAGTTTATTTGCTTGACCCATTCATAAGATTAAATAACTGCTTAGTACCTTTTTGATTTTCGGTGATTCTTTAGTTTATATCTACGTGTAACAAAAAATCATCCCTAATAAGACTGAACAGACCCACCAAGTAAACAGTCGTAAGGTTATTCTGAATTCCTTGATTATGAATGGTAGATGATTGCGATGGCACACAAACTTCACTTTTTAATGAAGCCTTAAATACATTGTGACAAATATTCAATTTTTGTCACGCATCTGCTAGTTTTTGTTACCACTAGCCAGAAATATGTTCTACATAGGCTTTTAAATCCAGTAGAAACGTCTTAAGAAATTAGTTATCTTTCGTATCTTTACAGCATTTCAATTCATGTTCTTCATAAGAAATATTAACTAAAGATCGAGTTCAGTACTTTTAAGGAAACTATTTTTCTGCCAGTCTCATTTTTTGTGTTTTTCGCAATTTTCTACAAAATTTAAAATAATGTTTTCTTTCCTACTAACTTCAGACTTTTGTCGAGTTTGCCGATGTGAGGGGACTGCTTCGAAACCTCTATTTCATCCTTGTTTGTGCACTGGGAGTATTAAATATATTCATCAAGATTGGTAGGTTTGTAGACATTGTTTGTGAGTTTCTTCTAACGGTAATGCTGTTTTGTTCATCCACTAAAGCAGACCTTCCAAATAAGCAATGATTTGTCATGACATTAACTTAATAAAACTGATAGTTTAGATATGTGGACAAAACTCAACCATTAAATCACTTGCTCCAAAATGTTTCACTTCTTTCTATCTGGGACGTCAAGTAGTGTCGTTGGTGCATAAAAATATACATGACAAGTAGCGATCTAGATTATTGACTACTTTAATATGATAGTCTTTCAGTTTGACCTCCGATTATGTTCTGAAAAGTTCAGTCGTTCACTATATCTGCATATTATTCTATCGTATTTACTCAGCATAAAACTCGTTTCAGGTTATTTTTTAAAGTGTAATCAATCATCACTGTAAAGGGAAATTGTATATGAAGAGTACTTTCTCACAAATATATATTCTTCGTGGTAGTAGCCCAGGCTTGCTTATATCTGGTCGTCTCTGATTGCTGTATTGGAAAAACGCTGATCACTTATACTTGGAACGAGGGACCTCTGAGATTCTCACGACGCGAAAGGAAGAACACTAAGACTGGTATAAGTGAAGATTTATTAGCCTTAAAACACTGACGACGATGACCCTAGTCTAAAATACACTCATATATATACATTGATTGTACACCCATTTTGATTAATAATTAGAATGTAATTCACATATATGAAAAATACTTAGAATTATAACAAATCACATACTGAGCATAGTTCATGTCAATCGGATACAAGAATATCGTATATAATACAGAATAAAATATCATACGACAAAAGAAAACAAATACTACATTGAGTAATCATTACATTGAATCAAAACAGAAGTAGTGTTGAATAAAACTCATAATGAGTAAATCAATCGAAAATTGACTTTTCTTTCCATCACATCAGGCAGTCAGTTCGGTCAAGAGTTTTGAAGATTTATTGTAGAGTACTTGCGTGCAGTCACACTTGGATTGTATTAAGTACTGCGTTAATATTTTCAAGTTGCATACCAAAGAGTACCTCATAACAATACGTAACTATCTGGCTGTGTATCCTTGATCAACCACTCTGACCGTTCCGATTTGTCATCCAAATAACTAAATATCAGTTTTATATTCAGCTAAAACGATCAAAACGCAAATTTGTGAGTATTATAACTGAATCTTATTTGATAACCATGCTGCTTATTCGTATGAGGGTAAATAAATAGTTTTGATATACAACTAATTCAAGTTCATTTAGCCGTGTATACTTCACTCTGTTGCTTATATTTTACTCGTGGAAATCATGAGTGGACCGATAACTCAGTGGTTCAAGCGTTCGAATTTCAGCCACTAACTCACGGGTTTGTGAACTGCTCCACTTTCTGTCTAGACCGCCAGGTAGTGTCACAAACTCTCACACTTATGTGACCCAAAACCAATAATATGAATCTGTATCTGATGAACTAGTTAATAATAAAAATAGAAAGATAGTTATTAGTACATTTTATAATTCCTATAATTTTTTAGCCTCATTCGTTGGCTTGAGTATAGCAAAAGAAATACTTGTGAATTATGTAATCATCGGTTTGCTTTCACTCGAATTTATGCATCTGACACTCCACGATTTCTGCCGCTCACCGTGTTGGCTGTGGGACTGGCCAACAGCTTGCGTCGATTTGTACTAAACTGGATTCACTTGTCGATTGTCTTCACTGCATGGTTGGTTGTAGTTCCTTTATCTGCCTGTCGCATGTACCGTTGTCTTTTTACTGGTAGCGTTTTCTCACTCCTCACACTTCCATTAGACATGGTTTCCACAAAACACTTATTACAAGATTGTTTTCAGGTAGGTTCGAATTGTTTACTTAGATATTTAGCTTCTATATTTTATATATTTTATGCACCCCGTTATTTGTTGTACACTCTTTAAAACTGAAACCCGATCTATGGAGTCTTTTAAGCATCTTTTAGCAATGACCGTTAAAAAATAATTTGGCTGGACGTTGCTAAAAAATAAAACCGTTTAGTTAAACAGCAAGTGTAGATTTTCATATCGAGTTTCACAGTCAAGAATTCTGGTGGTGGTCGTATATAGCCACGACCTGGATGCTGTTGTTTAATATGCTTACTGTAACGGCCTGATGGATCCATACTGACTGAATAACTAGTCTCTCGAGGTTCTATCATGCTAAATGAACCACTTCAAAAACCATGAAACTAAATTTGGCACATTTAAAGTTATGTGACAACACTATACTGCTAACTGCTTCGCGGTAAGACGTTCCATAAATAACCAAAGTCGTCAGCGATTCTGGTTTCCCACGTTGATAATTAGCATTAGGAAAAATGGGTCCTAAAAATATCCCACCCTCTGCCTCACGGATTTCCAGTCTCAGTCATAAGGGTTGAAAAGTATGTAATTAATTCAACATAAAGAATCACTCATACGAAGAGTGTAATCAACTTCAAACGAATGTTCCTGGAGCCAGTACACTTTCAACAATAATAAAGTTTATGTAGAAATCTTTAGACTGAATCTTCTTTCAGAGCATGAATTACCAATATGTGTTAACCCCTTACGCTCTTCAACAGTACTTGTTTTCTTCTAGTTCGCTAGTAAACCCCTTCCTCCGCTCCATACTCATCTATTCCCGTCGCAAATCCTTCTCTGAGTTTATATTTTTCCATATATCGTAATATTTTTAACAGACAACTTTAACACTCAAATGGGTAGTCCACGTCATACTGTAAAACATTCACGTGGGTCTTCCTGCGTCCTGTTTCATAGAACAGATAACGATGACCGCCTTCTGATTCTGTACTCAGAAAATCGTCTATTCTTAACCATTGTCTATTATATTTTTGATACAATATAGAATTCTCAGCGTAAAGTATTTCAACAAGTTTCCGTTTCTTTCTTCTTGGTCGGTCCTGGCGATAAATATTGAGTGATCGCCAGTTAGATGTTAGCAGTTCACTGAATGAACATCTGAATAATGGGCATTCTTTTCGTTGTGTATTGCCAGCAACCACATTGTCTCTTATCAAATTTTTTGTAACTTTGACAACGAAATGTTGTACACTTTTCAGAAACGCAGCAGAATAGGTCATGCGATTAATAAACATAATGATATATTAAAACAAACGAAAATAGATAACTTGTTGAAATATCCAGATGGCAGGAACAGGTAGCCCAGATGCTCAAGCAGGCCGCTGTTTGAAAGAAAATTTATGGTTTTTAATCATATATGCAGACTCTAATGTGAGTGCGCGTTTATCAGCTTTGTATTAGGCTCAGAGTAATTTCAACGGGAAGTTGGAGAGCTCAGTTCGAAGATGTAAGGTGAAAATAAACTGGTATTTAATCGATCATGAAAGAGATGTTGATATCGAAGTATCATGACATAGTTAAATGTACATCTAAGGAACGAAGTAGCCGTACTTTAATAGCATTAGAAACATCAATTACATGACTTTCGAAATTTATAGCCAGGTATCCCTTGTCTAATCAGCGTGAAGGTGAAGACATAGAAGACATTAAGTTTTAGAATAACTGTATCACTCATCAAAATTGATACAAGTTTCCATAAATCAACCATTCTTTGGTTTAAAACCGTTTAGGCACCGGGATTTTCAACCTAGACGAGTTGTTGAGTTCGTTAAGTATCGATATTAATTTAAGAGAAGACATGAGTCGTATAGAAATGAGACGGAAAAGAGACTGAAGGCAACGTAACATATGATAAGATAATCTTAGTTTTTTTAATTTCCAAGGTTTGGCATTTTAAGTGTGTGAATGGTATTCCTTTTTATGCTAGTGATTATCATTTACTGATTGAGGACTGTGATACTATCCAAAGAGAAACAAGTGGAAATCATTTCTAATTATTTTATTTAATTCACATAAGGATATATCTCCATGATGACCAGTCAATGAACTGCGTTCATACACCATTCGTTTCCCCAAGGCAGGGCCTATGTACATTTTTGGTTTGCAGTTAGCATTCTAAACCCCTCTACCTATACCAGCTTTAAACATTTATCGACCAGGTTAAAGAGTTGAACATCCACTCTCATTTTCTTACTCTCTGTCTCCACACAATTTTTAACTGAACAAAGTCAATCTTAACTAACATTATATGTCACAGTATTGCCGGATGCAAACTTGTCTTTTTCTATTGATCTATTCATATCATTCCTTCTTTTCTATGTCCTTCGAAATATTCTCATTTTTCAGTATGGGGGTTGTGGAGATTGTTAAGTTTTTGGTTGAGATCATGAATCAATTGATGTTAGACCACCGTTGGAAACCTGGAAGCACTGGACGGCCGTTTCGTCCTAGTATGGGACTCCTCAGCAGTGCGCATCCACGATCCCGCACCCCGCGGGATTCGAACCCAGGACCTACTGGCTTCGCGCCTGAGCACTTAACCATTAGACCACTGAGCCGGCATCCAATGGTGTTAGTGTCTAACATCAACCAAGTCACGAAATTGCGCGACCAACTTCCATTGTACTGAGGCAGATACCTGTCTCTACCCGACACGGATTAGCTCCACTGGTCACGACTTCTCACTAGAACTCCGAGAATTCCCTCACGAAGCTAGTCACTAGTGAGCACATGTTAATTGTCAGTATGGGGGTTGTGGAGATTGTTAAGTTTTTGGTTGAGATCATGAATCAATTGATGTTAGACCACCGTTGGAAACCTGGAAGCACTGGACGGCCGTTTCGTCCTAGTATGGGACTCCTCAGCAGTGCGCATCCACGATCCCGCACCCCGCGGGATTCGAACCCAGGACCTACTGGCTTCGCGCCTGAGCACTTAACCATTAGACCACTGAGCCGGCATCCAATGGTGTTAGTGTCTAACATCAACCAAGTCACGAAATTGCGCGTGGTAAATTTTCTGAAATATTTCTTTTATACTATTAAGTTTCCTCTGCATTTATTTCTGCTATATGTAAATAAATAGATTTGAGAATATATATATATATATATATATATATATATATATATATATATTCAATAAATTCCAGTGGTATAATATCTTACTTAATTTATTCATCTTAGGGTTTCATTATTGTAATCCTTGCATTGGCCGCATTTTTGGGTTATGTTTCATTGCGAGAACAACTTCTCCAAGGAACACCAGCATGGTTGGAACGTGATGCTCATGCAGGTATTTTCATTTTGTATTTTGTATCGTTTAGATGGAATTCAGTTTAATTTATCTCTGTATACAGTATTATTCTTCTCAAAATGGTTAAGGATGGATTTATTTTATTAAATCAGAATATAAAAATCTTGCACTGTTACACTACCGTGGTTTTCTACAAACATGTCTAGCACTATTATAATGTTTGTGTATACTCATTGAAGTGCTTTAACAATTAAGTATTTTAAAAATACGTGAAAATTTTGTACCATTAGGCAACATAAAAGATCTTTCACCACTTAATTCTATGCGTTATGAATCCAAAGTGGTTTGGAAGTGAAAGAGAGAGTTAAGGTAAATAATCAGTTTTGAAAATCACTTCGTTACTATAATCCATAATTAGCTGTATGATGTGGAAAACATAAAGGACAATAAATATGGATATCATCTCATATCTACGTTTAAAATGTGGAACTCATAAATGGACAAAGCTGAATTTAGACATAGGTTAGTAAGCAAAGATTCCAAATCGGTTGATATAGTTGTGAATCTTCATCGTATGCCTAAATATCACCTAATTTGATGCAACTTTTCAGCTGGCGTAGGAGTGGGTTAAAAGAAAATTAGGGGTGCCAAAATCAGGAATTGGCATCAGTCCATGAAGTCACTGACTATTTGTCTAAGTCATTTTTGTCGATTCAAACTACCTGGTTGAAGTCGTCATTATAACTATCATCAGTAGAAACAAACGGACGGTATGTTTTAGAGTCAGTTTCAGGGGTACAGATGCATTCACTGTTTATCTTCCTCTTTATTTTAAATCCGAGTTTCCCTACATACATACCTTTTCATTCTGTCTTTTAAGACCATATTCTCAATTTTCAGTCTTTCTCATTGTCATTGCTATCAGATTATTTAAATCTCTTACTGTTCATCTTGTTCTTTTCACCTCGTTGTGTGAATGTATTCTGGCAACACGAGCTAACGCTTATTTGTGCCAGGCTTCAAGTTGACTATGACTGACTGAATTACTGCACTAAAGATAAATATTTACTAAGGTGAAGTACTTTAGTCGCAGTATATTTTAGATAAGAACTAATTAGCGTTATATTGCTTTGATCCGACAATCGAAGTCATTTAAGAAAAATATATTCTCTAGAAAGTTTGTTAAGTTTTTTTCCATACACATAGTTCCCTTTATTATTTTAAAGAGAGCAAGAACAAAGATTGGTGCAGAATAATATGAACTCATTTTATTTTGTTAGGTTCTCATCAGCAGCTCTCTTTAAGTTTTTTTTATTCACAACCAAATGATTTATCCAAGTTAATTTTAAAAAGCCTATAGTGTAGTTATTTTACGTCTAACTCGTTTTTACTCTTAACACAAAATGTTACTAAAGAGTACATTATGTTTTAAAACAAGTAAATTGAGGCTTATTAGTGCAAACAACCTCAAATCACTAATGAAGTTTAGCAACTTGAACCGACCTACATACGTACGAAGTTCTACGTTGTGACTGACTGACCTGTACATTAGTAAACTAACTATCTACATGGAAGAAATTTTAGCGCCACTGGATTTTCCATAATTAAAACTGGTCAGTAATTTTGCAATTTTTTTATTATATACAAGCATATATACAAGAATTCTTCATAACATAACAGCCTTATAATAAGAAATAAACCACTATATGGTATGTACTACTTGTACGGACTGCTGTAAGTAGTATATACCAGAAATTGGGAGTAGAACTCTTGTAGACAGAAGAGGAAAATAAAGAGAAATGGAGGAAGAGCAGAATCAGTTCGAGTAGCGACAGTAGTGAAAGAACTATGGAACTTATAAGTGACAATTCAAGGAAGATGTCCAAATGATGTATTCAATGTCGTTTTCATATTTTACGAAGTACGTGATTTTGCTTAATAATACAAATTGCTTTACTCTAACCTAGTCTTCATTCAGTACAAGCAAACAACTTTTTTATTAGCTAGTATTTTATCTTCAGTAGACAAGTTTTATGTGAAGTTACATTTCAAACCTATATCAGATAATCCAAGCTGAACAACCACTGAAAATTTAGAATTATGAAACTATGTAGAGATTCGTTTTAAAAAAAATTTTAGACATTCAATATTTGTTTAGGTATTTTGTCAAAAATTTAAATGTAAATTTCTTCTGTGTTCCGATCACGAATTTATTTGTGAATTCCAGAAGCTCGTGGTGCTGATCCTCCCCATCCTCCTCGTCCTGCCGCTGGGGTCAATGGTAGGCGACCTCTATTTCCGGATATTTTCAATATTTTTGGTGTTGCAAATGGTGGTGGTTTAGGTGCTGCAGTTTTCGGTGAAGGCAACGAAGATCCTGTTGAACCTGAAATATTTAACAATGATGAACAGCATCATCAGACTGTTCAACAAGAATTAGTGAATTCTGAACATATCACGTGTTCCTCTCTAAATCAACAACAACCGGTGATTAACAGTGGTATCTCAGAACCATTAGAGCCTTCACATGAATCGACAGATACTATAAATCGCGGATCATCATCTAATCCACAACAATTGGCTTGGTATATGGAAAATACAGGAGTTAATTTAGAGGGGGATATTCCTGACGAAGATGGTAGAGCCAATAACGATCTAGGAGATGCAGATGGTGCACCAGAAGCTATGAATTGGAAACATTTACTGGGTCTAGATGGATCTTTAAATTTTCTGGAACACGTTTTGTGGCTTATTGCTTTAAATACTTTGTTTATTGTCATATTTGGTAAGTTTCGTGGTGTAGTAAAAGTATAATTTAGGGTGTTTGTAGTAAACGTGATTTGTATTTGCACCGCTAATATTTTACCTACTAGTAGTATATCAATTAGGTTTTCGTTGATTGAGATCTAATGTCAAGCAATTTTTTATGTTTACAGTAAAGCTACACAGAAAGAATGGTGTTAAATGCGTTTATTGGGTTTGTACACTGTAACTACACAAAGCATGTCAAATAAAACTTGATTTGTAACGGAAAATGAAATTCAACTATATGTTCTCTATGTACATGTTATAAAGTAACTACTACGAATATCTAATCAAATACATGATAACAACAACTAAATAGTTCACATAATGTTGTGGCACTAATATAGCCCTTAAGTTGATCTCATTAATGAGATAGTAATTTGTAGCTCAGGTGGATGATTTAGGTGAATTTTTGTTCGCTGCGTTGGATGATTTGGTTGTGGAGCTTTCATTGTTCCTCTGAACAACATCAGCGCAAGCTTCAAGTAGAAGTGAAGTGTTCAAATTTCTCCATATATGACCCATAGCCTGTCCTGTGTACCTCGTTCTTGATTGATCAACAATAACAAATCAAGACCGAGGTTTACAGGACAAGCGGTGAGTCATATGTGGAGAAATTTGAACACTTCACTTTTACCTGAAGTTTTTACTGATATTGTTCAGAAGAATAATGAAAGCTCCACGACTAAACCATCCAGCTCAGTGAACAAAACTCCACCTAAATCCTTACATTGTGCTTAGGCTAACTGTACTGAGCAACAGTGGTAAATAAGAGCTGAATATGAAATATACTGAAAGGATTTATTTTTCAGCACTTATATATTAGCAGATAAATAAGTGATTAGATGAAGTGTCGGAGTTGATAACACTAAATTCAAGTTGCCAGATAATCAGGACAGCGAGATGTAATCATCATGACAAATTTCAATGTAGTAGAAGTGGTAACAATATCGGTAGTAGTAGAAGACATTCGGCACGGACAATATAATCCAAAATGAGTTCGCGGAATAAAATGTATGAAATTTTGAAACCCATGTTATAAAAGAAGACAAAGAGCGAATTCTGTGCCATCGTGAAGGATTATGAGCCATATCACCCAATGAATAATACGCTATTACTAATGGAAGGAAATTTTAAGATTGAAACAGTTCAAATTTAAACAATTATTTGTTTCTGCTCGTTTATCTGCTTTCATATTAAAATGAAACATTTTGTACTATGATTATTACTGCTGAGGTCATTAATGCAACCGATGCGTCAGTATTCTAACCCTGATGAGATGTCTAATGTAGGTAAAGTAGTCAGTTTGTGTTCGAAACTAGGTTACTTGTTCTTAATGAAAATGAAGGGTCTGTTGTATGTCCCACTTCATCAAATAAAATGTAATTGTGACTGTGTTATAACTTGTGGCCTGTGTGCCCTGTTAATGTATAGAGTAATGATACCGCCTATTAGAGAGCAGTGACTTATCGATCGAACCAGTGAGGCATAAAACCCGTACGAGCAGTCTAGAGTACCTATCGATCCTGCTTCCTGCCTAACCCAGCCAGTGAAGTCGAGAACACCAATCCCAGCTTCTGAAACATGAATCATTTATTTCAAGCATACGGGGTTTATACATCAATCAGACAGACCACATCGTACCATAAAATAGGAAACAACATTTGTACAAGTTTTGGGAAAATGTGGCTGTGAATGTGGGAGGTAGTAATTAATAGACAGGGCATAATTCAAGAATGGTAAATCGTATAATAATAGTTCATAGTTCAAAATAAAGCTCATAATAAAAGGGACATGAATATGTATAATTTAGTTATTTAACAATTATACGATAAAAATATACACATAGTATTGGTTCATAAATGGATCCCAAAAGTTACCATTCATTGTGCTTATCGGGGCATTACAAGCTGTAACACCACTTTCTGCATACTTTTGAATTTGATCTACACAATTCCAGCTTTACCAACTGCATTTCCGATCATTAATGCTTGAGGATAACCATTCTTTTTTAATGTTCAACAAAAGTGTTATATCTAGTGTTTTCGAACATTTTCCCACTTATTTAGTGTGTCAGTGCTGCACATAAGAGCATAATTTCCATTCAGGATTTCATCTTAACTACCTGAAGCTATCTGCATGTCTTCTACAAACAAGCGATTGTATCTCATCCAAATTTGCCGGATGAAAAAAAGCAAATAAAGTGAAAGTTAGAACATGAATTGAAATTCCCAGGGAAAATTATGCTTTTGCATGAAGCACTCACCCACTAAACGAATGGAAAATGTTTGATACCGCACACATATTGAGTATTGAAAAACTAAGTGTTACAAGTCCACAGACACGTATCATATTCCTTCATTGATGATAATTTTTGCTTAAGTTTTAATGACATTTATTAGCCAAGCTTAGTATATTTTTCATGTCACCATCATTAAGTAATGTGACTGATTCACATATACTAAATTCATGATTGTTTTTTATCATGACCATCGTGTAATTTGATTTTTTTTACTGGTTCTTTAATATCGTCATATGTGTACGCTTGATTTCCTCTTATATTCTTCACTAACTGCATCATTTATCTATTCAATTTATAGCCTTTTGTCCATATCATATGGGTCAGTTTACTGTGTTGGGATTCAATTTAGAGCGTTTTGTAAGTGAATAGTTTTTTCCCTGTTTTGTTGTTAAAGCCAGTCACAACTTATTATTTTCAATTATTAACAGATATTTTAATTTATATGTAGATTAATGCAACTCACATGGAAGGGTTTAGTACAAGTTTAATTGGTTACATTATTTTCGCTTTTGCTTTGATTCTTATGCATGAAGTATTCTCTATTCTCAATATGCCTCGGTAAGATAAATTTTTTTGTATATATATATATATATATTTGCCTTTACTAATTAACTTGTATTGAATTGTTTTTTATTTTCTTAAAAAACTCCCATCTTATACAGAAGTACTTTACGTTTTTAAGGTTCGAAATACATGTCATACATATAAACACTAATTGCCAACTATTTAAGTGTTACTTGCATATTATTTTTTTCGTCTTACTATAAGATAATATCACCCCCCTACTCAAGATTGAAGTCTTTCTCCAGATAACAAATCCATGCCACTAGTTCTTACTTTGCAACAAAAAAATTATCAACAGCAAATTTGCATGGGAATTTTCAAATTCTTCACCCATCCCTCACCACACTGTCGGACTAGAACCATTGAAAGGAGTGATTGAATCCCTTCGCTCTGTTTAAGGTGGGTTCTTTACGACGGACTAGTTGTAGGAGCTACTACTAATAACAAATGATGGCGTAAGCATGTAGCTAAAATGTCATTCGGATTACTTAATAAGATAAGCTATTCAGACACATCTGACAATCTTTGTTAATCTTATTTCCTGCAATATTCAGATGTTATCATCTTATTCAGGATGAAATTATCCAACTTGATCCACAATAGAATTCAATATCTTAAGTGAAATTTAAAATTTAATCAAAAATTTGTCATCATTAACATTTTCGTGTAATCATCAAAATGCTGTTATAAGTTGTTTTAAAATCAATTTTTGATTCCATCTATTTTCCTATCACTGATACCTTATCACATGATACTTTTTTCGGTTATGTGATCCGGTATCTAACATCTTATTAAAAATAATATGATGACGTTGATTCAGATTAGAATGCTGAGTCCTAATTTAATTTAATTTGTCATTTGTGTATGTAAATCTTCACTAACTTGTCAAGTCAGAGAGGGTGCTGACATTAGAACTTAAAATAATTCTACGAAGCCAATTTGGATGTTGATTTGGTCACATGTAGGATTAATACCATTTATTTTCTTAAAATCCGTCACTAATCTTTTGATACATTTGTATGTATCAAGTCCAAACAAATGAGATAAGTTCACGTGGTGTGTTAATCAATTCATTTTTCACCCTAGCTTTAAATGCATAGTATCGGTTTTCATTACATATTCGCTTTAAAGACTAGCTGAATCTTGTTAAATACTCGCAGATGACTAACTGTACTAACATAAAACAAAGTCATGTGTGCACTTGTAAATGTAACACTTACAAATAGGAAAATCTGAGAGCCCTAACATACAAAGGCTAAATTTTCAAACGAAATTAACATGTTTTCTAAGTTCAATTATCAGTTACCTCAAAAATCAAAAATTATAAAATAACCTTATAAAAATGATTAATCTATGTCAGTTACTTAGTTAATCATAAACAATGTATAACTTGAAACAAATGTACATCGTCTTGAATAGTCATACAACTTCAACACGTCAAGATAAATGTAATACCATGATGGTAGAAGTAAGTAGTATCAGCGGTAATAAAGGGAAAGTTAGGAATAGAGAATGTGTAGTTTGAGTAAAAGAAAGTTATTTGTATAATACAATATGTGAAATAATATTCAAAACTTAGGATTTTAGGTTGTGGAAAGAATGAATGCATCAACGTCATGTAATCATTTGTAAAGCTTGTCATTTAAATTCAATCCATACAATCACTAATTAATTGGACCCCATAAATAAAAAAATTATTTAATCGTGAATCAAAGCATGTAGATGATAATCTTCTTTCGTTCGAAATGACAACAACATTTGACATCTGCTGGTGCTCACTGTCTCTTATTTCGGAAACGGAACTATTTAAAAAAACCCTTTAAGTTTTATTTGGTAACTGAGATTTAATTTCATATCACAGCATTTAATTGCTTAAATCCCTTCGTTACTATCTTACATTATCTGTACTCGATTTAATTTGCTTAGTTCTAAATAATAATGATTAATATTCTCATAGTTACTATTATATGCTTAAAAGTTACTTATTATCAATACTTTTACAAATTATCGTTCGCACAGAGCTTGTTATTGGACTGGTCTTGGTTATATATACATCAAAGTTGCTTTGGTTTCTTTAATGGAATTGGGTATTTTCCCCATTTTGTCTGGATTTTGGATAGATGCTTGTACTTTGGTAAGCATACCTTACTTGTTGTCTATCCATTGACAAATTATTTCACTTATTATTTTTTACCAGTAAATGCTATGGTTGAATTTTGAATTTTGTCGTAGCCTTTAAGCAAATTTAGTATAATATGGTGTTCAACGAATAAAAAACACAAAGCATTTAAATTATAACTACTGATTTTGCATATTAAGCATAAAGATCCATGTTATTGGAAATGTTTTTTTTTCCAGTTATTGATTTTTGTACTTAAGTTTTTTACGTGTGATTTTGAAATATCGTTTTAAATTCGAATGATTATCGCGATATTTGCAAAATACTTTGACTCAGTTTCTTAGTGTAAAATCTCAGTAGGTTGTTTTGTTATTTTGATTGGCCGTCAATTTTTTTTATCATCTTCTTATCAATGATTTGTAACGTTTAGACTCTACTTGTATAAACGTTATATTCAAAAAAACCGAAGTTCACTAAATCGATTGATGTAATCTATTCACCTAGTACGGATTCTTGTACTTGGCTTTGAGTCGCAATTTTCTCGTGAGTGGTTAGCAGTACTATTCAAATGTCCAAACTGAATCAAGTGGATTGGAAACCGAACCCCTGACCTAGTAGTTACAAGTTGAATGCCTCAGCCACTGAGTCACTAGTGCACAAAAAATCCACTAAGGCTGCTGCATTAATTTAGATTAGGGGCATTATCTCATTTGGTTTAAAAAAATAAGCAATATATAAACCATTACAATACCTTATGAGTAGAAATGCATGGTGGCTGACAGTGGGATCCAGGACGCGCGTTTCGCCCCTCTTTGAGACTCGTCAGCTGGATGTGCCTGTATCCCAGAGTCGATGTTCGCTTCGGGACTCGAACCTGGTACTGTTCGCTTCAAACTCCATCGCATTATTCACTTAGTCTACTGAGTTTATATAGACACTGGTTTGTGTAATGGCGTAAAATTTAATACTTTTTTATTGGTTGTTTGAATCTTCTTATTGGTGTTTAGGGTTGCAATTGATCAGTCCCTTATTACTTTCTGCCTAATTTTAGAGTAAATATTAAAGATCAGTGTAAACTATGATTGAAACAAAACAAATATATAATCTATAGAACATTAATATAGTGTTTAATGAAATTTTAGTCAACAACCGTCAGTAACTCTCGGCGAGCATAGAAGACTAGTCAATTTCGACAGCTTTTTCAGAATTTTTTATGTTGCAAAATTTCTTGATGGACTCTAAATGCTATAGGAAGTGAAAGCAATATCTACTCAATGATCATAAATTTTAATTTGTTTAAAGAATAAAAGTAATCGAAAAGGCAACAATCTTAGTAGGCTAGTTTAAAAGTATCGAACTGACTAAATTTAATACTTTAATAGTTGAACTAGCGTAGAAAAAGACGGATTAGTATGTGACTCTCACATACACTTATGTATGACGTTCTTCTATATTTTGTCTAACTACTGACCCACAAATAAAGTAAATGAAGGGAAAAGTACAGCTCTTCCAAGAACAGCTCAACTGGTCTCCAGCTACTTTTCAGTTATTAATCTACAAACAGACAAAAATCGGCGAGTTAACATTGAACCTTTATCCCTTTATGAAGTTTAGATGGTTATAACTAACTCGAATTTCATGAGATTTTATTTAAAACAGCTAATTATGCTAAGCTTTCCCTAAGAGACACAAGACTATTAATCGGGTTGACTAAGGTGTCGGTTGTTATTTAAGGAACAGGATGCATCACATCGTGCTGTTCCGACTGTAGTGATAAGTTGAAGATACTTAGATTAGTTGTATTTCTCATACTTTGAAAATATAAATATTTAAGCACATTTTTTTGTATTCATTCATATAGTCCCTTTTCAATGCGACGTTAACTCAACGAGCTAGTGTATTTCATTATGCACCAGTTGCTTTACCTTTATTCATTGGGCAATCGGAATGTTGTACATATTTTATATGGCGTCTTTGCTTGTACTGGGTCGAAGTGTACTACGTCCTGGTGTTCTACGCTTCATATATCATTTTAATGATCCTGATTATAAGCCTGTTCAAGATGTAAGCAAATATTTTATTGTATCGTATTGTTAAATAATCGTTATTAAATTTGTTATTTCTTTGTTTTACTTGCTACTGGTTTCGTTTCATACTTACGTACATACACATGGACCATTGGTTCTAAATCCAAAGAAGCTCCTTTCGTTTACAGTTCAGTGTGTAAAAACTGACTGCATTCTGTGCAAAAATATGTGTTTAAGTTATGCTTAGCCCTTCTTCAGTGATGATAAGTTGTATACTTAAAGCAGTGAATCTAAATAGACTGTAAATATTTTTATTATTATTATCATTATTAATATTGTTACTTTTATGATTATCAATATTAATGGATTTATCCCATATCATATTTTTGGTACAATATAGAATTCTCAGAACAAAGTATTTCAACAAGCTTATTTTAAAAAACAAAACAGAAAACGATAATTGCATGCATATATTCATAAATTTAGTTAATGAAGTACCTGGGGTTAGATGAATTTTTTTAGATTTGAATCTGTTCAACTTTTTAATTGGAAACATGTTTAAGAATACAAGTTATTGATTAGCTCAGCTCTAACGACCTGTTTCTTACACGATATATTTGCTAGATAAGGTATCACAGAGCTCTTATATCTTTCCTTGCGTACATGGATTCTAATATATTGATGTTTCGTTCTGCCAGAAGATATACGAGGAGAAAGATATGAATGAACTGGATGGTTAGTATATGATAGGATGACATCTGCCAGATTTCAGACATCTATCTACAAATAGTACAGGCTTTATGGAATTCCATCAGCTTGTTAGATGCTGTTCATATTTCAGTCTAAAGTTAACGGTGACATTTGGGAGGATTAAGTGTGAGGCCATTAACAACAGACCATCGTTCAATAAGAGGCATTTCAAGGGGATGTAAACAGGTAGAAATCGGCACACATACAATGAGGTCGTCCACATGTTTAAAAAAAGCGTTTTTTGTGGAAGATGGAAAATCATGCACAAAAAAAGAGGGGAGACAACAGCTTCTTGTGGCATACCTTCATGGTTCAATAGAGACTTTGAACACTCTCCTCCGAATACAGTGTACTGTTCTCTTCCAGAGAGGTTGGAACACGGTCAGTTGATTATCCAGCTGTCGATGTTGACTCTGACTAACTTGTAAAGTAGTTGTTTTGGAATAGAATCGAAGGCAAAAGTATAGTCTGGAAAAGCGCATCGGGCATACTTCTACACTTTTCCAAGCTGAACACTATATTATGATACAGAACAACAACAGCATCTAAGGTGCTTGTTTTACATTTGTAAGCAAACTGATACGAATCAATGTGCTTTTTTGGTGCAGGTTCAATTGGGAGTAACAATAGTTTTTGCATTAGTTTTGAGAAAAAGTGAAATTATTGCTATAGGTCTAGATTTTACATCCTTATCGCTAGATACTTAGGTATTGGTATCGTCTTTATTTTCTCCACATTTTCTGTATGAGATTGGTTGATAAGGATTTGTCAAATATACTCATGAACATCAACACACTTCTTAAAAAAGAGGTTTGGGATTTCATCAATTCTTAAACATTTGGAGAGTTAAGTGGCTGGAGAAATTTGCGGACATCACTTAGGGTGAAAATCGGAATATAAATATTCTTCAAACCTTTGTATATAATAAGCATGATATCAGATGACTGACGTACAAAAGACTTATTAGAGTCACAAACATTCAGCTGGTCATTGCTTCTAATGTGTCTTTCATCTGTAAGTTCTTTAAATAGTTTCTTCATACTTGAGTTTTTACAAGATAGGAGTTTCTGAGTAAATACAAAATCCAGACATTTAATCTCTAGGTTTATTAAATTAGCTCTCAAAATTCAATAAAGTCTTTCTCGTTGTACATTCTATCTTTTACCCGCAATAATCGTTTCAGTTATGGAGATGTAAGTCGATCAAAAATTACACAAATAGTTTGAGTAGGACAATATTTATCAAAACGGAATTTAAGATAACAAGTAATAACATGAATGAGTCATCTGTAAATAATCCCCAGTTAGTCGTACGAAAAATAATTTTCAGATGTTGAATTGTTTTTCTTTCTGAGTAATTCTTGTATTTGATTTTCTTTGTCTTATGTAAGAGCTTACTATTTCTAAGTTTGTCATATAAGTAATGGGGCACATTTACGGGTCACATATTTACCCACATCATCAATGGGCATCCAAAGGAGTGGGAAAATCTACTACATTTTAGTGAACTAGCGATAATAGAAATTATGATAATTATAAGTATTCGAATTATTACCTAACTAGGAATTCCCAATTTAGTACCATTTACAGCAAGTTAAACTAGATGAGCACAAACGAACGTATTGCGTTTGGAATTCGAAATCAGCGGGCAATCAAGTACAAAAGAATCATTATTTCGCACAAATACCACAAGTATACACTACACAAACACTTTAGGATAGGAAGGATGATCGGGTTTGTTCATACACTGCTTTTAAACTCATCGGAATATGACTGATATCTTCACGAGAGCTTAATTTAATGTCAACTATACGGGAATTCGCTCGACCTTGTGGATGCAGTATAGTCGTCCGTAATATGAATAATAGTAGTTCAGATGACCCGTGTTAATCCTGGGTGTATGCTTACCAGTGAAGATCCAGTTTTTGTGGTAAACTTCATATCCGTGTATGTTTCCTAACTTTGGTTCGAGTGGAGATTGTTATTGTTACTCTGATCAAAGCACATCTGGATGTGTCCGATGCTGTGGGAGTATTTTTGTAGAGTGTTTCGCAACTTGGTGGCATCAACCACACTATCTTCGCAGTTTCTGTCTAGGTGAGAAAGTCCATCTGCCACTACAGTTACCCGCGCAATTTCGATCAAGGGAGTGAATGTTTCCACATTTTAAGATGTTTAACTTATTCTGCGGTTATCGTACCCGGTGCTTACATTCAAACTCATGTTGAACGCCTTCAGCGATTTTCTTTTTTGAAATACATTTTTGCACGTGTGTCACCTCAGCTTTGAGTAGTTGAATGTTTTCTGATGCATATCTGTACAGATACACGTGCATTGGCATTTACTATTTTTCCGTTGTTTTCATAGAGTTGTTACTTTGACTGCCACTAATTGAAGTAACCGTTTTGGTAAATTCCCATAGGTACTGTAGTAGCGGTTCTGTTACTTGAGTTATTGTACGCGTACAAAAAGACTCGTTTTCTCGTTCATACTGGTTAAACTGGTCGTACAAATTTATCGATGTAGTCGACCATTGTATCTCTTTCCTGATGAAGATGATATGCATTGTGACAGCTGTAATAGATGGTTCTGTAAAATATGTACCGATCTATCATCGGTCGTGTATAAGCGTCGCTGCAAACCAGATTTTACTCACCCTGGTTATGCAGAGAAAATTGTCTAACCAAAGCGAGTCTCGTAGATGGCTGTCAATGTGATGATTTTGAAAAATTTCAGCAAAGCAGCTTTGAAATAACGGGTACCATACGAGAATGGATGATAAATTTCCTCTGTGGCCGGAGAAAAGAAGTAAGGGTGTATAAGACACAAGTTGAATGAAAACCCTCTAAAAGTGGTGTATCTGAAGGCACCATATCAGATCGCCTACTTTCTCTCCCCTACGTTAATGAATTGCGAAGTCTGATCGGAACGTCGACCCTTGTTTGCAGACGATATCAAAGACTAGAGAAGAAAACATAGTGAGGTTAATCATCCTTATCAAATGTCATTACAGATGCCATGTCTTTTACCCTTCTCATTGTGTCGGTATGATTTTCAACTGCGCATCGAAGAAAATAGTATAGTGTGTAACAGCCCTTCTACTTGCTGCTTTACGACTAAGAAACAATCCTTTTAGCAATGAAAGATTAGAGTATATATATATATATATATATATATATATATATATATATTTCGAAAATCAAAAAAATTCACGCCAATCTGTAGCCATAATCAATCTGTTACGAAAGAAGTACAACGCTAAAAAAGGTGCATTATTTATAAAGATGTGATTTACGATTTACTAAATGTGATGACATTTTTGGGTTACAGTGTTGCTTTCGGCATGAAAATCGTTGTAACCTTCATTCTCGCAAGCATACAGTTTTCTTTGATAAATAGTGGTGTATGAAAAGCAAGAAATACACTAAATAATAAGTAGCCTAGTTACAATATCACAAGCATCCCAAAATTCACATCCACACTGAGAAAGGTACATTAAATAATTTTAATCCACTGTCCAAGAATTAGGCATAACAATCATAACTTAATTGATTGAATAGTTAGTGACTTACAAATTAATTTACTCCAACCCCCTAAAACACGTTTATTTTACGACAATATTTTATGGTTAAGCATGTCGTTTTATGAGTTAGAAAAACTGCATTCTGGCTAATAATCTTGTCTTTAGCTTGAAATCATTCACGGGTTCGCATTCAAGTATACGGTCTCGTGACCGGCCATTACTAGTCTACACTTCATATTATTGCATATCATATCAGCATTCCCTTTTTCATTTTGACAATATAAAATTTCGTTCATTAAATTGTTAAAATCCTCCAATAATGAGTTCATTTGTTATTGGTACACTTTATTGTCACACAACACTTGATTTTACGGCATTAACTGAACTATATTGTTACTGTTGTGGCCTGTAGTTTGTCGAGGAATTGTAAAATAAATTTTATTTGTTGACAATAATCAATTTTATTAAGTTCGTATAAACTGAAGAGGCGTAGTCTGTTGTCACACTATATTAAAATATACATGTACGTTCAAATTTATCCTTCTACAAATATCTACTGTCTTGTTTCCTTCATTTGTTTATCTCAAAAAGTATTTTTACACATTATTATTATTATTATTATTATTATTATTATTATTATTATTATTATTATTATTATTATTATTGACAACGGATTACACCATATTTTTATTTATTTTGTTTTGATTGCAGATGATACTTCAACCATTACCACTATACATACAACGTTTAATTGCTACTTATGTAAGTGCTGAACACTTCTCCATTGTGAAATTATGTAATATCTATGGTCGTACTACTTATACTTAAGGTTGAACACCATTGTAATTTCTATGACTACAAATTGACAACATTAGTTGCCATATATTTTTTTGTTTTTGTTTTGTTTTAAATTATATAGTCAGTTTGGGGTATATTAATTGTACTTATGCTATGGCTACCTACAGAAGTTATTCGGCATTTCTTTCCTAAATTCTTGCCATTTCGTATTAATGCAGCTTAGTAAGTTTTGGAAAAAGCGGTAACTGTGCACAGTAATTTACTCTATTGTATTGTGTATGTGATTATAAATATTTTAGAAAAAAATCGAAACTCTGGTCCTTATATTCCAATTGTTTTTAAAGTGGTTAAAGAGTTCACGTTTCAACCATCGGTTGTAAGTTCGTACCCTTTCTAATTTCATTTCCTTTTGGTAGCCTGTTTACTAGTTAATATACAGAACAGGTCGCATCCTTGAGTCTCACTCAACTGTGGAGTCGCAGATGGATGCTGCTGAGTAGTTCAAAGCTAAAACAGCAACTGTCCAAGTGTAGTGGACGCTACTCACTTGTAGGTAGTATGTAGTAGTCATCAAGCGAAGTAAAGAGTTTCTGTACATCGAAAGCTCAACGTAGGCACAACACTTGATGACCAAACGAGAAGATAGTTTGAATTTCAGAACACAGCAAGATTCTAATTGATGATCAAAGACTATGTATACGAATTATGTAAACACTTTTTAATTTCCAATGGTCAATTCTTTTCCCCTTTGTCCTGTTCCACACCAGCACTTCCTGGTTCAGAATGGTTGTCTTACCAAAATCATTTCGTGATGTAAATATTTCCCATCAAACCCCTACGGTAAGAAATTATCTGAGAATTAAAAGATTCATATAAACCTGTAAAACAAAAATTTGCTTTTTTTTTGAAGAGCTTTAATACCTTAAATATTTTATAAGTATCAAGATTAAAAAACAACTAGTGAGTGCATAAAAAGACACATTAAGTAACATATAGTTTACCTCTGAAATTTGGGTATAGTTGAATTATACATAGCTTATTGAAAATAAATATTGTCATATTTCGGTTATTACATAAGTTCTCTGAATTTTGAAGTTTACCAAACGTAGGTCACCTAACAAAACAGTTGAATTTACTTATAAGAAATGTTTAATTTTTTTCAAATTTTACCTGTAATGGTTTAGATTACCCGATTGTTCGATGCCAGAGTCAACACCAACCCTAGGATGCATGTACATCCAGCTTACAAGTCTTAAATAGGAAAAAAGGCACATCCTGAATTTCACTGCTAGCTGCATTCTATTTATTCTGTTTAATTTCTTTGTTAGGCTGATTTATTATTATTATTATTATTATTATTATTATTATTATTATTATTATTATTATTACATTTTTATCTTTTTGGTATATTCATGTTTTTCTTTGTATGCTTTTATTCAAGTGACAGTCCATTGGATTATTCATTGGAAATGATACTATTACAAGTTGTTCTACCATTCTTATTGGATAATCACGCTAAAACAACTCTTCGTCAGATTTTACGTTGGTGGTGTATATGTGTATCATGGTTGCTTGGTTTACGTAGTTACTTGCTCGGTGATATTCCATTTTCACCAGGGGTTAGTTAATTTTCATTATTCTTTTTATTTAAATGTTTGTATAAAAGAAAATGTACGAGTAGTATTTTAATGTGCCACCAACCAAATAAAATGATCGCAGATAACAAAATAAATACTAGGCAGTGAAGTGATAAATGGCTGCAGTGGTAGTACGTTTTACATTCTAAGGGTCGTAAATTATGGGTATTATTCAATTCTGCTGGTCACAAGTTTTGTTTATTTCTCTTTCTAAGCATGTTAGAGTCAAATGATTCTAATTCTGTTGGTTGAACTCATTCTATGGATCCATAACGTAAACTGATATTTTGAGAATAACAGTTGAGGTATTGACTACCAGAATAAAATGTGGTCCCGCTATTTGGTAAATATCAGTGTGTGAGAATCGATTGTCTCAATTATTAACATTGTCAGGAATGCCTTGGAAATTTTAGAGTTTTTCTCCACTTCTAAAATATAGTCTTGTGTCGTTTTTTAACCACTAGTCTGTGCTTGATGTATAGGAAATGAGAGAGTTGTCTCGATCTAGGTTATGGCCTTGACGTGATAGGTTGCCTCATAATATCTTGAGACTTGTAACATGTGAGTTCGATTTGTATTTGAGTGAGATTGAAGGCACAGTAGAGAAACTTTACTACTAGTAACGTATGAGTTGACTGGTTAGCAAGAGGAGAAAAAAGACTACTTAGCTGGAACTCCCTCTCCGACTTATTCTTGATTCGATTAACTCAAAATAAGTATATGAATAAATACATAACTGACAGGACTAAAACCCACAATGAATGAAAAAAATACAATTCTATCCAAACAAGGGTATTAGAATTTAAGAAAAAAGAACACAAAGATCACGTCTAAATTACTGCAATTTTGGAATAAAAAGGAAAAGAACGGTAATTTATGCATTACTTGAAAGCATGTGGTTCATAAAATACAGCAAACATCTAATAATTTACATTTAATACTTCACAGATTCGAAATTCAGCGACACAATGTCAAAAAAATGTCCGTTGTTTGTAATCGCCTCTTTATTCCTCTCTTCAAAATAAACTGAATCGCTATTTTTTTTATAACAAAAGTTAACCAATATTTAACACAAGATGTCTTTTTAAGTATCCGAAAAACCCTTCAGCAATCCATCATCTCTTCATAGTGCATGCGTATACTGTTCACTTCGTATTCCTGCTGGAAACAATTAGCGTCTTTGTTGCTGCTATGGAATATCGTGTACTTTAAGAACCAACATTTTCAAAAACTGATAACATAAGTTCGTGACCGTAAAAAAATCAGTTAAAAATTAAACGATCAAGTAATATATTATATTCTAACGAAGAATAAATAAAGGGTAACTACCAGGAACTATTTATTGACTATTAATATATATCCTTATTGTATGACTATTAATCAATTAGATTATTACTTACTAACGGCTATTACCCCTTGTGGAGTAGCGTAGATCGCCCAACAGAACACTCCACCAAACTATGTCCTGGAAAATCCTTTCCAGTAGTTTCCAGTTGCTATTCGTCCTTTTGATATCTACTACTAACTTTACAAAAGGATTTTTTTCTCATTGTTTTAGATTTAAAAAGAAAAGTTTTAGTTCAGCTGTTATTAACTTAGTGATTATTGTCGTTTTAAAACTCCGATAGTTTGATTGGGAAATTCAGTTTCCCACTAAAAAGATAACTTGTTAGACCTTTTAGCCACCAATGGAGTCACTGGATATATATATATATATATATAACTTATGCCTGTTATACCTCCTAGAGGAGCGTAGTACACCCATCGACATTATCCATGGAACTCTGTCCTGGACAATCCTTTTGATATCTGCTTCTAACTTCCGACGCAGTGTGTTCTTTAGTCTTCCTCTTTTCCGTTTCCCTTTAGGATTCCAAGTTAGCACTTGTTTCGTGATTCAGTTTGATGATTTTCGCAACATATGTCCTATCCACTTCCATCATCTTTCCTTAACTTCCTCTTCAGCTAGAAGCTAGTTTTTCCTCTCCCACAGTAGGCTGTTGCTGGTGGTATCCAGCCAACGGACATTGAGTGTCTTGCGTAGACATTTGTGTATGACTACCTGTACTTTCTTGACGATGGTCGCAGTAGTTCTCCAATTGTCAGCTCCGTACAGTAGAACTGTCTCCACATTCGTGTTGAGGATTCTGATTTTGATGTTGGTTGACAGTTGTTTTGAGATCCAGATCTTTTTCAACTGTAGGAATGTCGCTCTCCCTTTGCCAAGCCTCACCTTTACATCTGCACCGGATCCTCCTTGTTTACAAACGATGCTGTCCACCTGTTCCAGAGCTCCTTCATCAAGTATGATTGGTTTGGTGTTCTCTGTGTTGATTTTCAATATCTTGCTTTTTCCCTTGTGTATGTTGAGGCCTACTGATGCAGAGGCTTCTGCTACACTGACTGTCTTCACCTGAATTTGTTCGTGTGTATGAGATAGAAGAGCTATGTCCATGGATTTTAACGGCTTAAACGATTTTTTCTAGTTTGCATTTTTTTTAATGAGATTGTTTTCTATGGGATATGGTTGCTGAATCCATGCTCAACTTTCCTTCTTTCTCTGGGCGGCAACTCACGAAGGACTACGGGCGGCGATAACTATATTACATATATTTTTATTCCTCTTATTATCTGCTTCCTGTTAAATTATTGGCTGTTTTTATACGAAACACTATTCCTGACTTATTTTCAAATAATCAGTTAGTCTTTCACATTCACAGCAACTTTTGGCATGATTTTTTATAACCGTTATTTGCTGCTATATGGTACGATGCAGGCTGATTTGTCTGTTTATGAACTGCATATGTCCGAAATACATGATTCATACAGTGTAACCTGAAGTTGTGTTCTTGACACAACGGACAATGCAAATCGAGTAGGACCAATAAGGACTCAGGTTTGACTATAGGTTCCTCGTTATGGGTAAAGCGTCATTGAATTCGGTGTTTATCTTGTTGTGTTAATGAGGTATGGCAACTTGGACCGATGCACATATGTGCCTGGTCCTACGTTGTACCTGACTGGCTGACTGGGCCAAGATCGTATAAGTCAATGTTATGATTAGCGATCTAGTTACGTGATATATTGACAGGCCATGAAAACATAACATAATAGTATTTTGAAATCATCAATATTTGTATCTTAAACATTTTCCTCTCTTTCTGTTGACTTTTATGTCTTGTCCCTTTTCACTTTCATTATTATTGTTATGATTTATTATTATCACCTTCATGTTACAACCTGAACATATGTTGTTTAATAATAGTTATATTCCTAATTCCATTTGCTCTTTGCTGATTTTCCGATTTCTTGTTTAATCGTATTGTCATCCTTATTTAAGTACACTTGTCTTTTGAGATAAATTATTCTTATATCGAAGGCTTCTGATACTACTAGTTGGTTAATTAAACCAGGGGTTAAAACAATTCCTATGGTGTAATCTAGAACTCATGTATATATAAGCGAATAATATTGTCTTCAATTAAATTTTCACGCTGTTTTCTTATGTACAGTCATGTATTTGTATCTATGGAAAATATTAAACCAGCCAAAGCAGTTTCTGACTCAGTCACAGCAATGAAAAGAAACGATTACACAACTAAACATAAGTATAAAAAAAAACAAGTTTGTATTAAAATAAAAATTGTACTACCAGATGTGATAAAAATAATTACAACTTAAATCAGTAATTCAACATAGAAAGTGGATCAATACTTGGAAAATAAAGATATTAAAATAGCGGCCATTAAAAATTATTAAAATTAGTCAATAAGAAGTTTTAAAATATTGAAATAATGAAGAATGTATACGAATAAGGGTGACGAAAAACAAATAAGCCTAGAATATGGTAAATAATATTTAATAAAATCGCTTATTAAGCTTTGTGCCGTCAAGGTTGAAGCGACAGGGTTGTTAGAAACATTTTCTAAACACATAGACTAAAGCTGTAGACATAGACCCTTATAACATCTGCTGCATGTAGCAGACTAGAATGAACCATGTTGAGGAACAACAACAATATATTATAGATTACTTATGATAATTTATTTTTAGATAGTATTCGATTATTGTCGGTCAAATATAAAATGGCCTACTTATTGTGTATATGATCCTATCCAAACCACATAATGAAATGTTTACTTATCTCTGTTGCTTAAGTCGCGTTGGCAAGCTTTTTCCACAGGAGCATACGAATTTGTACATACATACCGAAAAATCAAAATCAAGGTAATTATTCTTTGTTAGAGTAATTACCGCCGATGATCTATAAAGAAATATTTTTCATATCGACATGTTAGTCGTGAAAATGTAATGATCGTTTTAAATTAATTGGATGGGGTAAAGTAATCGACCATAAATTATTTATTAGATACAAGCATATAATACACGGAATTTCATTTTGCCATATTCTTATTATACGATTGATGTATGCTGTTTTTAACATCTCATTAATTTTAACGTTTAACAAAAATTCATTACAATGAATTAAAAATTTATTTATATCGTGAATTCATTGTGTAATCAGCATGAGTAACGTTTTCTTGTAGCAGCTTTACTTAATGTTTATTGGTTTAGGATTTTATTGTTACTGAAAATGGAACTGAAGTACCATACAAACGACGTCGAGATTCTCATAATCAAACATCTAATTTAAATAGTCATTCGGGATTCATGTCAGTAGAATCGTCTCAACGGACATTGACTAATGAACCAGACGATATTTCGACAGATTTGTATGCTCCAAATTTATCATCGCCATCATCATCTTATGGACAGATTACTTCAACAAATAATCGATTTCGTGAACAATCCCAACCTGAAAATAATGAACAAGATAACGTTAATCATGCAAACGCTGATTATGATAATGATGATGATACAGATTTTACTCGTTATGTTCCATATAAACGAGGCAATTTCTTCAAATTACGAATTACTGGCTTAATTCTAATCTTAATTACTAGTTTGATATCTTTAAGTTTAACTGTACTAATTGTACCAGTTGGTGTTGGACGTTTATTATTGTTGAAATTAAGCGGAACTGGTTCTACATCAAAGCATGATGCTATCGCTTTAGTTGGTGGATTCACTGTTCTGGGAATAATTCTCCGGCTAGCTCCTTGGTAAGTTCTCTTCTCTGAGCATACCACTATATATATGGGGTTCACGATTCAATACTTATTTTGGTTTTTTCCAGCATAATGATTGCCTAAATATGAGTATAAGCTGACTTTATTTGATTTTAGTGTAATCAGTATCTAACATTATAGTGTTTACCTGAGATTAGACGCAGAGTATGGAGTTAGTGTAAGAAATCATTTGAAAAGATAGTAAATCTTTATCAACTAAGATAGTTAAGACATCTTATGCGTCTATCCACTGACTACCTCGATGCACTTTGATGGCTACTGTATGTGTTAGTTAAAAAGGAAGCTTAACCAAAGCATGCTATCAGTTCATGAAGACATTAGCTGTTGGATAAGCCTAGACTACCTGGTTGGGACCAGCAAGATTATCATAGCCAATGGTTAAAGACTCGTTGAAGTAGCTCAATATCGTTCTCGATGGCTCAAATGCATGCACTCTTTAGCTTCCTTTTATTCCTGATTTTGTTTCATTACCATTGTTAATGTTATTACTTCTACTATTTTAAAATTTGCCCTGGACGATGTCACTTCATTGTGCGAATGTTTTGTGGACATTTGAACAGATGTACACATGTGTCAGCTTCTATGTTGCATTTAACTAACTGTATAATCCAATGAAAAAAACTGAAATGATTTACAAAAGGATTTTTTTCTCATTGTTTTAGATTTAAAAAGAAAAGTTTTAGTTCAGCTGTTATTAACTTAGTGATTATTGTCGTTTTAAAACTCCGATAGTTTGATTGGGAAATTCAGTTTCCCACTAAAAAGATAACTTGTTAGACCTTTTAGCCACCAATGGAGTCACTGGATATATATATATATATATATAACTTATGCCTGTTATACCTCCTAGAGGAGCGTAGTACACCCATCGACATTATCCATGGAACTCTGTCCTGGACAATCCTTTTGATATCTGCTTCTAACTTCCGACGCAGTGTGTTCTTTAGTCTTCCTCTTTTCCGTTTCCCTTTAGGATTCCAAGTTAGCACTTGTTTCGTGATTCAGTTTGATGATTTTCGCAACATATGTCCTATCCACTTCCATCATCTTTCCTTAACTTCCTCTTCAGCTAGAAGCTAGTTTTTCCTCTCCCACAGTAGGCTGTTGCTGGTGGTATCCAGCCAACGGACATTGAGTGTCTTGCGTAGACATTTGTGTATGACTACCTGTACTTTCTTGACGATGGTCGCAGTAGTTCTCCAATTGTCAGCTCCGTACAGTAGAACTGTCTCCACATTCGTGTTGAGGATTCTGATTTTGATGTTGGTTGACAGTTGTTTTGAGATCCAGATCTTTTTCAACTGTAGGAATGTCGCTCTCCCTTTGCCAAGCCTCACCTTTACATCTGCACCGGATCCTCCTTGTTTACAAACGATGCTGTCCACCTGTTCCAGAGCTCCTTCATCAAGTATGATTGGTTTGGTGTTCTCTGTGTTGATTTTCAATATCTTGCTTTTTCCCTTGTGTATGTTGAGGCCTACTGATGCAGAGGCTTCTGCTACACTGACTGTCTTCACCTGAATTTGTTCGTGTGTATGAGATAGAAGAGCTATGTCCATGGATTTTAACGGCTTAAACGATTTTTTCTAGTTTGCATTTTTTTTTAATGAGATTGTTTTCTATGGGATATGGTTGCTGAATCCATGCTCAACTTTCCTTCTTTCTCTGGGCGGCAACTCACGAAGGACTACGGGCGGCGATAACTATATTACATATATTTTTATTCCTCTTATTATCTGCTTCCTGTTAAATTATTGGCTGTTTTTATACGAAACACTATTCCTGACTTATTTTCAAATAATCAGTTAGTCTTTCACATTCACAGCAACTTTTGGCATGATTTTTTATAACCGTTATTTGCTGCTATATGGCTGTTGCTGGTGGTATCCAGCCAACGGACATTGAGTATCATCTGAATTTGTTCGTGTTTATGAGATAGAGGAGCTGTGTCGTCTGCATCCAAGCTGTCTATTGTATTCTATGCTTACCCCAGATATAGAGGTCTTCATAATCCAGTCGACACCAGAAGAAAGATAAAGGGAGACTAGGCATCTTGTCTGACTCCGGTCTTCACTTGGAATACAGCTGTACTGTACTTTGAACAAATATCTGACCAATCGTTTGAAATTTTCACGAGTCGTGGAAATGATAATAATATGTTATGCATATAAACACACTGAGTGTCACTTGAATCACTTACTTACCTTCGCCTGTTACTCTCAATGAAGGATAACTTGTTGACCAGCATTCTCCAACCCATTTTGTCATTGGCCTTCCTTTCTAGTCCTATCCAATTTTTCTTCATTCCTCTCATATCTGTCTCCACTTCTCAGCATAACGCGTCCTTGTGATGTAGTTGGACGCTTTACTCAATGTCTGTCCTATCCACTTCCTGATTTCTTCCTCCGCTGAGATCAGGTTTGTTCTCTCTAACGTCAGGTTGTTGTTGATAGTGTCTAGCCAACGGATCCGAAGTATTTAGCATAGACAACTGTTAATAGACACTTGTATCTTCTGGATGATTGTTTTCGTAGTTCCCCAAGTTTCCGCCCCATACACTAGATCTGTCGTAACATTTGTGTTGAAAATTCTGACCTTAGTCTTGGTTGACAGTTGTTTCGAGTTCCAGATGTTCTTCGGTTGTAGATATGCTGTTCTTGCTCTGCCGACCTGCCCCTTCACATCTGTATCAGATGCACCGTGTCCATCAATGATACTGCCTCGGATATGGAAAGGTCTTTACATATTCCAAAGCTTCTCCGTCACGTGTGCTTCAAATAATGCATGCTGTGTTGTGTCGGAGAATCTTGCTTTTCCCATTGTGTATTTTTACGTTCCATGGTCCAGTCGACCACCAGGAGAGAGAGGAAGGGTGAGAGTAAGCAACCTTACCTGACACCGGTCTCTACTTCGGACGAGTTTGTTAGCTGTCCTCCATGCATGATTTTGCAGTTTGATCCGTCATAGGAATTCCGCATGATATTGACTATTTTCTCAAGCACTCCAGAGTGTTGTCCTGTCCACGCTATCAAATGCTTTTGTAGTCAATGGAGTTGACGTAGAGTGATGGGTTCCATTCAATGGATTGTTCCACAATGACCCGTAGTGTTGCGATTTGGTCTGCAGATGATCGGTATTCACGGAATCCAGTCTATTGGTCTCAAAGTTGGTAATCTACGGAGTCCTTCATTCTGTCTACTAACACCCTGTTGAAGACTTTTCCTGGTATTGAGTGAAGAGTGATGCTTCTGTAGTTTTTATTTATTTATTTGAACACATAAATATCGGCGCAAGAGAGCGCCAATATATATGCGCCACACACACTTGCTGAGATCGCCTTTCTTTGATATCTTGATCAAGTGTCCTTTTTACAGTCTGTTGGTACTTGTTCTTCATCCCAAACCTTGCTGAAGAGAATATGGAGTATCTTTGCAATTACTGCTACATCTACTTTCAGTGCCTCTACTGAAATGCTGTCTTGTCCTGCTGCTTTGCTACTCTTTGTCTGATGGCCATGCTGATCTCTTCAATTGTTGGTGGGCTAACATCGATTGGGAGATCTGTGGGTGCTGCTTCGATATTGGGTAGGTTCAGTGAGGTTGGTCGATTCAAGGGTTCTTTGAAGTGCTCTGCCCACCGGTTTCGCTGTTCTTCAATGTTGGTGATTACTTTGTCGACCAGTTTATTGAAGGCACATAGGTTTGCGAATCTCTCACCATTTTCGTTCCTTTCTCCTAGTCCATGTCGTCCCATGATGTCTTCATATCCAGTGTTGTCCATCCCAACCTTGACATTCAGGTCTCCCATCAGAATGGTCAAGGCTTTTGTTAGGCACTTATCAACAATTGGCTGCAGCCTATCGTAGAATTTATCTTGAACGTCTTCATTGTAGTCTTTGATAGGCGCATAGCATTGGATGACGTTCTTTGTAATGCTCTCATTCTTTATTTCAAAAGAGGCTTTGATGATCCTGGGTCTATGAGATTCCCATCCTATAAGTGATTTTTGTGCTTGTTTGGATAGTGCCAGTGCAACTCCTTGTTTATGTGGAACATTCTCTTCTTCATGGCCGGAGTATAACAACAGCTCTCCAGAAGCTAATCTTTTTGTCCAACCTGCGTCCAATGTGTTTCATTGATTCCAAGCACCTCCATGTTGTATCTTTTCATTTCTGCAGCAATCAGGATGACTCTCCCGGTCTCCCACATTGTACGAGAATTCCATGTAGCTAAATTAAATTGCTTTGGTTGTCAGAAGGGGCATCAGCTTCGTGACTTCCGACGGAACTCGGTTTTCACCATGAGGCGTCATAACTCTTCTAAATGAAGACCTAACTCCCAGGGCAGAATTTAAGTGGTTTGAATTAGTTTTTCTGGATGGCGTTTTTTTAGCGAGTTAGTTTTCTACGGGATGGTGTCGCTAACCCTATGCCCAACCCTCCTCCGGCAGTAGCCCCAGAAGGGCTCCAGGCGGAGTTCACTTGAATCACTGCACAGTATATTTTAATTTTATTCGTATTTTTTAAAATTCTTTAAATGTATCTACGTATATCGTACTTACGTTTCAGCATACCACATCTTTTAAATGGGATTTTTCGAATTATTATGTTGATTGGTCAAAGTGGTAGTTTAATTAGCTGGTCTAAACCATTACGTGTATTTAGAATTTGGACTCGTTTAGGTACAACATGTGAAATTACAATACGACGACCAGCATTACCAATGGCTCCTATGATTGATTTGAATCGACATTATGGATTTCAATCTACCGTGGATATGAATATTGGGATATATCTACAAAATTATCTACGAATATTAATAAATTGGTTACGTCTATTTTGTATTGCTGTAATATGTCTGGCATTCTCCCAACAGCTTTAGGATTATTAATCAACTTCATTTTCATTGTACCCTTCCGTATTGGACCCAAGAAAACCATTATTATTGGGTTTTGGGAGGTTTGTTTTTATTATTATTATTATTATTGTCTAACTGAAAACTTTTTCAAATGTTTACGTTACATACGTTACATACTCTTTTCAAAATATGCGTAATACTACTTTTTCAGATCTGGTATCTAGTCCCAATCCACAGATATAATAAGTAAAATCCACCTTTTTGCAAATAATTTGAAATTTTACATCAAATTGTAGTACTAATTTAATTTGTATATTTGCTAACCTCATCATAGGTAAATGATTTGTGAACTTAAACATTCGTTTTCACATCTTGATAGTTATTCAATCCAAAGAAATTCTTCGACAGAACTATTTTTAAGTGGGTTTGTGAAGATTGCTGAATCTAATAGTGCACATCCTGGACTGACCTTGATTAGACAACAGTGTTAGTTCGTCATCTAGACCATAAATTTCAGAAAATTCCACAAACCCCGTTTACCAATAATGGCCATGTGTCAGTAGGGACTAAAGATGTTATATAATTTAGAGAAAATACTTGACCAGTAGAGTCCAACCATGTCGGGTGTCATTGAAAGTTAATTGGGCAATACCTCGAATTAATTGAAGGTAGTTTTCAACATATTTCTATTTTCAATAATAGACTTAGTTTAGCTACCGATTAGTTTTAATCATTTTCTCTATTCTTTTAATTTTTATAGCATTGGATATTTGGTATTATGCATTTAAAAGTGGTTATCTTACTTACTCTTCTTGGACCGCCATGGTGGTTACGAAATCGTTTAGAATTATTTCATGATGAAATGACACATCATCGACAAGATGCTCGTTGTATGCGTTTACTTTGGGCAATCGCACCATTGCTTGTAACTATTGGATTATCATTAAGTGTACCATATTTATTAGCTTATTATATTAGTCCATTAATCGGTAAGATTTTTACCTGGCTGTTATACAGTGTATTTTTCAAGAATCCTGATTGTTTATTTATTGTGTTGATTGCTTTTAAAGTACATATATTCACTGGTTGGTCTATAATAAACATTTATTTGTTTAATAAATAAGAACTTTCGTCTAAATTTGAACGAATAGTTTAACAATATTTGTGCGCGGATTTTAATGAGACATTAAAGTGGAAGAATGCATTTGTAAAATCTCAGCGAAAGAATTTGAAGTAAATCCAACGTTTCACCTGGTAATCTGGTTCAAGCTTTTTCAAGGAAAATATTTTCCTTGGATACTACTACTACTACATTTTGTTCATTACAATATTTGTTGTATCGATTTACAGCAATTCCTAATTACAGACGACTGAGATCTACGGGATTTTTATGTAGATCATTAGACAATTGTTACACTATGCTTTAACGGTGATCCCCTTTACTACGGAAGAAAAAAGTCAGATTATGAAAAGTTCCAAATTCAAGATAAATTTATAGTAGAATAACTTCATATATGTAGCAACAAAGCATGACCTAGGGGGATGCAGTAAAATTAGCAGGATATGATACGTGTCCGTAAATCTGTAGCGTATTTGCCTCTCAACATTCAATCTCTGTACATTATTAAGCATTTTCTCTTCACTTAGTGGGCGAGTGTGAAATATAGAACCATAATTTTCACTGGGAACTTCATGTCAAGCCGTAACTTATTTTGCTTTTTCGTCTGGCATATGCGTTACATTGGCTAGTTTGTTGAAGAGATATGCAGATAGTTAAAATGAAATCCTGAGTGAGAATTATGTTCTTATTTGCAGCATTCACCAACTAAATAAACGAAGACTTATTCGAAAATGTTAGATACGTTCCATGTCCCTATTCACTTCCCTCTGACTTTTGGGTATCGTTTTACACTACTCATTAATATTCAGTAAACAGTTATATTCCTAGCAGTTTTTACGCTTATGTTGTACCGCACGTTTATCGTGTGTTGTTCCATAATATTTACATATACGTAGGACATTTATTGTATTTGCCATTTTAATTACTCTCTCTTCATCCTTGTAGCAGCAGTTCGTATAGTAGTTTAGTCCTTTTTTGAACGCAACAGTTTCCATATTGTTTGCTCTCGGTTCTATTTTTGGTAACCTGTTATCAAGATTAGACAAAGCTATTAACTGTCATTTGCAGTATCGCATGTTATGTTGATTCTTTACATTATTGTTACAGAAAGCCTTTTCTATTTCAGACTTACAGACCTGTAAGACGCTACAGATCCCTCAAAAATTGACGTTTGTGGCTAATTTATGTATGTTATTCAATAAAGAACCGATTTTTAGACAAATCGCTGTTTTGTGCGTATCTCAAATATGTGATTTAGACACTTCGATAGACTTAACAGGTAGAATATGCCTAGCATTATAACCCAAGACATTCGTCTCGTTTTACTTGAGGGACGTCATATGAATCCATCCCAGAGGTGATGTTCACTCCCGTACTTAAACCCAGTATCTATTCAATATACTCTGCAACAAAATGTGTCGAATCGTAAATCATTGTTCTCTGTGGAGTTATGTGTTGTCGATCATTGTGAACTAAATAGCTGTTAGAAAGCAAATCTTTGACAAACTTGAATAAATCCACATATTTTCATTTATCGGTTGTACTGTTACCGATAGAAAAAAACACATAGCTTAAAGCGAAATATTGAGAATACAAGCTATATTTTGATTAATTTTTCTTTAGCATCGTTAGCTAGGTAACCGTGTTTCTACGGCTTCTGATTATCGACCTGCATCTTATATTTCCAATGCATATATGAATTTATGAATCACTATTACCTACGTAATAATAATTTTTTATTGACTTGTTTATTTCCCTACAGCATTAGATAGCGAAGTTGCATTTCGATACATATATCCATTTCTTTTCGCCATGTTCATCTGTTCAGTGTTATTGACTCTGTGTATCGACCAAATTCGACGTCTTTATTTGCATATTAAAGATGAAAAGTAGGTTTGTAGTAAAAATCTTTATATTCTGTGTAGTCGACCATTTAAAACATAAAATATTTGTTCAATAAATAGGGGAAATACTGAGGTCATACATAGTAACTTCACATTTTCCTCTTCCTTTGTGACTACAATCTTGATTTTCGATTATTTCTGAACATCTTCAGAAGTTAAACATTTCTAGTGAGTACAGTGACGAGCGAATTATGTACTAGAATTTTGGAAAAATTCGAGTCAATAATAATAATAAAACTACAGCCTTGATTAGCTGGTAACTGAATAGATGACAGCCAACCAAGTCAAGATGACTGCAACCATCGAACGCATAAATACAATGCGATATTTTTGAATAAACGGAATACACCCATTAAAGCATTAAGAAAGATTAGTTGAGCGAAGAGTTCTCTTTTCGGCGAATTCATTTTCAAAGCTGTACAATCGCAAATATATATAGTTATTTTCACAGGATGATAATAGTACTGATAATAACCTTCTATTAAGCATGTTGACAGTGAGGTTAAATAAACAAAGTTATTAGAAAAAATTCTTTCAAAAACAAGGATAGTTTGTTAATGACATAAGTATTCCTCAAAAGATAGATAGGGAAACGGATAGCTAAGCATGATAAAATAAATGTTGAAAATGAGATTAAATGTAATGAAGATGATCGTGGAAACAAAATGAATTAGTTGGGGAGTAGAGAATTTAGGGGGAAGCTGCAGGGTGAAGCAGATGACTGTAAAGAAAGAAAAGTATGAAGAGAAAAATTATAAGGCATCAGGACTATGGTAGAAGTAGGGGTTGTACCAGTCGTTTTAGCACACACGATTCTGGTTTTTCCAGATGTATGACTAATACTTCGGTAATACAAAGACGATGCAGTCTCATTGTTTTGGGAGACTTCTGCTTACCTTGTAGATGACTTTGAACGCAGAGTCTGTATTGATTGAGTGACCTGTGTTCACAAAATGTTCAATTACTGAGCTTCTTATTGAACCACTTCCTCCTCTTTTTAGCTATGCCGGACAATGTTCTTGGATTCTTTTGGATAAAGTACGCATCGAACGACATATATACCTAGCTCCACATGAGCAGGTAAATTGATAAATCCACATTGATTTGGTCAGATGCGATAATTTATCTTTAAGAATATTGGTGAACAATGATCGGCTGGGGAATACTATTTGCTATGTTGCTGTGGGGAATGTTCTTTTTAAAGAATCGGAGATTCTCATTAGAGTGTGTGTGGCTCTGTCACCCTTGAATTCGATGTTCATGTATAAAGTTTTCTTTTCTACTGTAGTTATCTACGTTTTCGGCTTAATGCTCTTATCAATGAAAATCGAAGGATATCCGTTTTTAATAAGTATCTCATTCAGGTGGTTCAATTCTTCCTCTATGACGTCGTGACTACAGATTCGTCGTCTTGTTGCGAGTGTTATTATTAGGTTTCTTTTTTGACCAATAGGGACCCAACTGTGGAAACTTGATAGTTGATCATTCCACATGGGTCTCCTGTAGATAGATCTTTTTTGAGTACCATCTTCTTTCTTGTCATTTCCACGTCAAGAAAGTGAATATTTTATTTGTTTCAAACTTCTAATGTGAATTTTGTTGTTGGGTGGCAATTATTAAAATGTCTTCAGAAGATGATTCAAGTCATATTTGTTGTCACAAACGATAAAGATATCATCTACGTATCTTTTATACAAGTGAAGTTTTTCTGTAGTCCCTTTCAGTTGATTGTTTTCTAGACTGGCCATGAAGCAGTCTGCAAGTAACGGACCCAGAGGGGATCTCATTGCTATGCCGTCCTTCTGTCTATAAATTACGTCGTTGAACGTAAAATGTACATTGCAAGTGCACCCCAATAATAGTTTCTTCAAATAAACATCCGGTATTCCAATGTTAATCTCATTGTTATTTACGTACTTGCAGATGAAATTAATGGTCTCTGTGAGTGGAACATTAGTGAATAATGATTCGACATCAAGATATAATATAATTTTGTCATTTATGTTCACTTCTTTTATGTGCTCAACAAATTCAGAAGTATCACGTATGAAGTGTTTACAAATGTGTTTTCTGATGGGTTCTCAGAGATTTGTCAGCCACTTTGCGATAAAATGCTAAGGAGATCCTGACATATCGAGAATAGGTCTGAGAGGTAGGCCAGGTTTGTGTATTTTTTGGCAGACCATATAGTCGCGGTATTATTGGTCCTGTTGGTTTTATGCGCTCAAAGACATGTTCTTCAATTAACTGATCATTTTTTTAAGAACTTCAATTAGTTGTTTTTCTATAACTTCAGTCTTGTTTTTCTCATTGATTGGTTTTGAGAATTCGGTGTTAATAACGTCATTTTTTCAACATAATTATTGCGGTCTAGCAGCACTAAACCAGCGCCTTTAACTGGACGTGTTATAATCAAGTCTTTATTAATTCTAAGTAGTTTTAGCTGATTCGTATGTTCTTTCGTTAGAAGACTTTTGTCTGTTACTTTTGTGCTAATATATTGGTTGCAGCTATCGAGAAGAGTAGATTTGAAACGTTGGAATTCTTGGTCAAAGACTGGATCAAGACTATTTGATTAAATTCTCGAACTGAACATGTGAGGATTTTATTAATTTTTTCATTTCATCTTTAATGTACTATCACATCTAAAAACTGAACAGATTTAAAATAAAGAAATTCCAATGAAGGATATGTTTGTTTTCCACGAAATTATTTAATTTAGCTATACATCCATAATCAAAGAGGTTAGAGAATAGCAGGATGAAAATAATTTACGGGTCAGTAATATGACATGATTGTTCACTTGACAGATATGAAGACAAAATTGATGTTGATTTCGTCGCTCTCTTTAGTTTTATTCAATGACAAAATAGATTGAAGTTTAAACCTATTACACACATGAAATATGTAAACGTGCATATACCCCTTTTTGAGGTTCATTTTAAGCAGTATATATGAAAATCTTCAAATTTTTTAAAAAATAAATTTTTAGATATTTAGTTGGAAAACAACTGCTAAATTTTCGACCATCGCCAAGTCAATCGTTAGTTCCAGCATCATCATCGTGACTATCTAATTGCCAGTTAGTAAATTTGGACATACACTACTAATTCACATTGTCTAGACATGTAAGGATCATCACTTGGTATTTTTTGGAAGAATCCCGCAACTTCACGTCTGGAACAACATTTTTTTGTACTCACTAATGATATTTACTGTTCCTAACAACCCAACATTTCTAAAGAATATCACTGTTAGAGTATTATTTTGCATATACAATAAATATACACCTCCCCAACCCGGGCACACAAACAAGTATACTAATCAATAATCTTTGATTTATTCTGTATTTAAAATATTTTATCGAAAAAAAAAACAAACGCGACTAGACAATATTTATAAAAATACATTTTTCTTATATCAATTTTCTCGTGCTTTTTGTTTTCACTTGAATATGCTTTTAAAAATAAAGAGAAACAAAGAAGGTTAAAAATGATAACAAATTAATGACAGATGCATAATATAAGCTGTACCAAACAGTTAAAACATGGGTCAATACAAACCGCATACGCTCTGAGAAAATACATTTTTCTATTAATGTGTGCACTGTTACTACTATAAAGTATATATAATATAACACTTGTACATTACTATTAAACAATATTGTAGCAGAAATGTATGTTGATGCTTTAGTGAAACAGCAATGGAATAATCTATTTCTTCTGTTTTTTAACTAATGTGTAAGACAAGTACACTTGTTTGATGACCCATTTTGTTTTGTACGGACTTCACTTATACACTTACGCTAGTTTTGTATCTATTAGTATGTAGATAGTCATACTCTTTCACTAATGTGTCAAACAATTAGAATAAGAACTGTTATATCATAATACACATCGGAAATTTGGACTGCTCAAGAAAATCATGATGCCGACTTAAAGACCGCAAAATAAACAACTCTACCCCTCTCTATTGGACCAGAACTTATACTAATAGATATGTAATTTCTATGGTTGAGGTCACGAGTCAAATGAAACTAGACCACCATGGAAGACCTGGGAGCACTGGACGGCCGTTTCGTCCTATTGTGGAACTCCTCAGCAGTGCGCATCCACAACCTCACCTCGCGAGATTCGAACCAAGCATCTACCAGTTTCGCGCGCTTAGGAGTCCGACAATAGGGTGAAACGGCCGTCCAGTGCTTCTACGTTTTCCATGGTGGTCTAGCTTCAACTGACTCATGATTCCAACTATTGAAATAACTACAACCTCCACAAAACCTGATATGAATCAACATATGCTCACCAGTGACAGGCTTCAAGAGGTATTTCCTTGAGTTCTAGTGAAAAGCAGTAACCAGGAGTTCAACCGGGTCTATTGTGAGATAGTAACTGACTGAAGACACTGGTGAATGTGTCTCAATTTAGTGGATTGGTTGAAGTTAATCATTACCACCATTGGATGCCGGCTCAGTGGTCTAGTGGTTAAGCGGTCGCGCGCGCGAGACTGATAGGTCCTGGGTTAGAATCCTGCAAAGCGGGGACGTGGAAGCGCATTGCTAAGGAGTCTCACAATAGGACGAAACGGCCGTCCAAGTTTTCCATGATGGTCTAGCTTCGATTGACTCATGATCTCAACCATTGAAATAATAATAATATCCACAAAACCCTTCCGATATAAATTTGTGTTCACCGGTAACTTATTCCAGAAGTTCTATAACGAAGCCGCGACCAGATGAGTTCAGCTATGCCGAATGTGAAACAAGGCTTATATGCATTACTGGATGATAATCGCGAATCGTCGGAAATCAGAAATAAATATCATTAGATACCAACTCAGTGGGTTGACGATTTCGTAGTTGTGCATACGTATTGCTACAGCAATATGACATCAGTCTATGATGTAAAACATCGAAATTTAACAATCTCCACAAACACCTTACGATGAACATATTAATTCTGATCACAATTATGTTTCTTAGAGGCTGAAAACAACTCAACTTTCAACTAGTAGATTTTATGTTCGAATCACAGCCGGATAGTAAGTAGCCATACTCACTCGTCATTTGCACACAAACAGTTTGGCTTAAAGTTCAGTACAAAAACTATATAAATGATTGTTGACTAGAATATTTTCATATATGTATGCATGAAATAGAGAAATCGGTATTAATAATAACTATATATATAATGATCAGTGCAATTTCGTTTACCCTATTCATGAGCATCTTGACAGCTTCATCTTCTGCTGGATCTGAAACACGAATGAAATGTGTTCCTGGACACCAGTTTACAAAGCGACGTGACTAAATTTTTCAAATAAAACAGTACTAGTTTAGTATATATCATTTTACAAATGTCATCTATAATCATATCTTAAATAAAATGAATTATGATGAAAAATACTCTAGGTCCTATCAAAATGTGAAACTTAATTGTATGGCGCTATGAAATGGGAAATCGGTAGTGGATATTAATCGTTGAATTGGCTAGGATATGTGTTACGTATGTGCAATCGCATTCTGTCGCGATGAACAATGTTGATTTGCATAGAAGTAGGATGAAAGAAATCTAAATGTGCCCAGAGCTAGACGTAACACCACCTCATGAAAGCACAAACTGTTCGGTTGAGCCATGTCCGTAAATCCGGAGTGTGGTTGCAGTCTGCACAGTAATTGTGACCAATATTTATAGATCTTAAAAGAAATCGTCCAGAATCAGTCACAATTGAACACACGCACTCAACTTATCTTGCATAAAATTTCGAGTTTCGAAATCATGCCATACTTTATATTCCGTAAACTTATTCTCCCAATATCAGGTTGGCTATACCTAGTGTTTTCTACTCCTACTACTGATATTGTTAGTACTACAATTAATATAGTCTGGCATTTGTCTTGATCATTCCGTCTGGTTGTGCGATAACGTGAACCGACTCACAAACGTGCTATACTTTACACTATATTTGACTGACCGGAAATATTAAGAATAAGATAGATGGATCAAATAATAAAATAGATTGCTTATAATTTGTCCAAGTTTACCAACATTATATTGATACAAAGCGAACTGTCATCGTAAGAGTTGGCTGAAAGAAAACTATGATCCGCCAGATAAAGAGTGGTATCAATCTCTGAAGTCACTGAGACCTGGGTTGACCCGTGTTAATATGTGTAGATGATCTGGTTGGGGTCCGCAAGATTATCGTAACCAGTGGTCAGAGACTGAATGACATAGCTCAAAATCGTTTGCAATGACGCAGGTGCATATACCGTTGCTGCTACCCTTAAGTTGTCGTCGGGCTTGCCTATCGTAATGAACCACTCGGTCTATACTGGCTGGAACAATCGTTCCTCAAGGTCCTACCATGCCAGACAGGTCGGTTGAAGAGCGGTAAGACTAAAAGCAGTAAACCCAATGTACGAGGGCGAAATCGTACTTCTTACTGTATAGAGGTGCGACGGCAGTATGGTGATTCCTTCGGAAAACCAGCATAACAGCAATGCTACCTTCCTACAAGGAGGAGTGGGGTTAGAAAAGGTCGGCCCTAGAAATGCACACCTCACCTTATCCCACGGATATCCGTCTCCGGTGGTAAGGTATCAACAAGTGCGGAGCTAACACGAAAACTACTCGCGAAAATGTCATGTGTCCGGCCTCAAGTAGTTGTCCCTTGGGCATCGTAGTTGCGCTCTCAGGTCACTAAGATAACCCCTAACCTAATTTCCTTTTCAGGTACCTCCAGAAGAACCCTTCTACGGTATGGGAAACCGGGAAGTGATAACTGCCCTCATACCTCTAGCAGCACTCAAGATCATTGTATTTATACTCAGTGTCCCTCCTCACTTTCTATTATTCCTCCTACCTCGACTTTCAACTCGAAACTTCCTTCGCAAGTGTCACTATGGCCAACGACTCTAGTGCGCGAAACTCTGTCCCAGGTCTACTGAACCCTCGCTCCAAACTACACATTGAAGCCTTCAACGTACGCACCCTCTTTGGCTGAAACCCTAGGATCTCATACTATTGATGTATGCTGTGTCTCCGAAACACACATACAGGGTCCTAGTGTGGTCATTCACTTGACCTCACCTTGCCAAAACGGGGAGCCGACGAGAAACACCATCGTATATCTGGCGACCCGATGGCTAGTTCTCGTGGACTGGCAGGAGTAGGCATAGCACTGAGTACGAGGGCAGAACAAGCACCATTAAAATGGATCCCCGTTAACAGTCGCCTAAGTGTTGTTCAGCTGAACGGCTCCATAAGAACTCGAAAGGATAGGGATACCTCGTTGTCTTTTCGTCGTTTCTGCCTACGTTCCCACTGACAGTAGTTCGGATGAAGTGATGGATGAGTTTTACGGAAAGCTTTCTGTACTTCTTCATTAAGCTAAACGCTCAGACATAGTACTCGTAGCAGGTGACCTTAATGCCCAGGTAGGTAGCTTAAACCAAACAGAAAGAAATTTAGGTTGGTATATTGACATTCCGGCTCAGCGAACCGATAATGGTGATCGTCTGCTGCAACTGCGCTCAGACAATCGTTTATTTTTAACAAACACTAATTTTAAGCATAAGGAGAGACATCGTCTAACATAGCGACCGCCTGCACCAAGCCAACGATAGACTCAAATAAACCATATTACCATCAGTCATCGTCGGAGAGGCTGGATAGAAGACTCGCTTGTTCTTAAATACCTGTTTGGACACCAATCATGCTCTAATACGAGCCCGCATTTGCTTGCTCCTCACTGGATACAGAAAAAACCACATTAGGGTTGGACTCAGTGACGAAATGCCGAAAGTAGATTCCATGAACAACTGAGGCCGCACTTCGATAGTTCTGAAAACGAGGCTGACCAATATATTGCTTGGAAAGATATACGAACAGCTGTGGAAACAGTAGTGACATCTACTAGTGATTTGAACCAAACGGTCACGAAAAGCCAATGGATTTCTACTAAGTTTATTGCACTGATGGATTCTCGTAAACACTCCATCAAGCTCTAGACACGATGAAGAACGAAAACAATTCAGATATAGGTTAACCAAAAGTCTAAGGAATAACCGTGAGCAGTAGTGGGCAGCAAAAGCAAGAGATGGAAAAGGCAGCGGCTGTAGGTAACGCCAAACATTTATTCAAACTAATAAAAGAAACTGGAATTAATAAATCAAGTGTAAGTGAGGCGATCTCGGAAAAAGACGACACTCTTATCTGCTCTCAGTCCAGACGTTTAGAACGATGGGCGGAACATTTTAAGGAGCAGTTCAGCTGGCCTTCAACTACTCTACAAATACACACCATTCCCAAACAGCCTGAACAGAACATTGAAGTAGGTCCCCCGATTCCAATCCGAAGTCGAGTAAGAGCAGATGGATCGGTTCCAGAGGTATTTAATTATGGTGGTCCAGTTTTAGCGATTAGGTTAACTAATATTTGAGTTAAAATCTGGGAGTTGGACATCATCCCATCTGACTGGTCGCAATCACTGATTGTCCCAATATATAAGGAGGGGTCAAAATCATCGTGTGATAACCATAGAGGGATTGGTTTGACTAAAATAGCATCCAAAATACCAGGCTCAATAATTATTGGGCACCTAACAAAGATTCGTGAACTGCAAACACGAGAAAATCAGGTAGCCTTCAGATCTGGTCGTGACTGCATCGACCACATATTCACCATTCGTCAGGTTTTAAAACACAAGCATGCTTGTCGACGTCCGACAACGATGGTTTTACTTGAATTAAAAGCAGCATTTGACTCGGTAGACCGCGAGATTCTGTGGCAGTGTCTGTCATTGAAAGGCGTACCTCAGAAGTACATAAGCCTTGTGAAGGCTCTTTACTCGAACACTATCAGTCGAGTCAGAGCTTATGGCGAACTGTCATCTGCTTTTGCAACCTCAAGTGGTGTCCGTCAAGGTTGTCCACTTTCTCCATTTTTGTTTAACTTCATCATAGTCCTATTGATGGAAATAACAGTCGCGTCGACTGAATTCTCGGGCATTGATCTCTTTCCAGAAGGTCCACTTATCGACTTAGAATATGCAGATGACATAGTCCTGTTTGGTGAAGACGCTGATAAAATACAGAGTCTTTTGGCAGCACTAAGCAACAATGCCAGAATGCTTGGAATGCGCTTCTCTCCCTCTAAATGCAAGTTGTTGCTTCAGGAACGGTCTGCAGTGTCGCCACTGGCTCTTATTCTAAGCCATATCTGATAACGTCTCTAGCCACTGTGTAGCACCATCTCTCGGACCCCAACCAGGGAGTCGTGAAGGACCAACACAAGCCAGTCCTTTGCAGCTTTCTTTCATGCCACGACACCATGTCATGCACTGACCACCTCTCCGCCTCTTCCAACCAGTACCAGAGTCCGCAAATAATGCACGACGTGGAATTCTCTGGGACGACATTCGTAGAACATGTCCAAGCCACCGAAGTCGGTGTTTCTAAATGGTGACATCGATTGGATTATCGTCTCTGTGCCCGAACACACGATGCCGAACCTCTGCATTACTAACATGGTGTTGCCATGAGATGTCAGAAATCCTTCGGAGACAGCGATGATCGAACACAGAGAGTCGTCTAACATCCTCAACTTGGAGAGGCCAGGATTCACAAGCATAGAGCAAAACTGCTCTCACTGAGCGTTGTAGATCGGACCTTTTACAGCCAGACTGACATCACGAAGGCGCCAAAGATGGCGCAGATTGGCATAAGCCGCTCTGGCTTTCACTATACGTGCATTGATCTCATCACTCACACCCCCACCAGCACTTATGCAGCTAGTACTACAATATCTGTCGAACGCACTTTTTGGAGAATAACAGTTAACTGGTGGTAAAATTCATCCTTGATTGCATACGGGCTGCAATCTGTCGGGGCATAGGAGGAGATGACGAAAATACATCGTTTTTCACGCCAATTTCTCCTGTCCTGTACCAATATATATGTGTTCAAATAAATCAATAAATAATACTTTGATGGAACTCTCTAATCTAACAGCACATAGCCGACTGTTAATGGGGAACCAATAGATTAGTGCTGCCTCAGCTCTAGCGCTTAGTGTGACACCAACGCCAGCAAGACCAGACGAAGGTGCCACAGGGTCCCCGGATAAACGCACGTAAAACAAGCTTTTCGAAGCGACAGATGGAGAGCGAATTCGTATTACTTCACCAGAGTCTTGAATACGGGTATCGGATAGACGGCAGACATCGATGTAAAGACTTTCCAAAGACATAGTCAGCCCTATCTGTTGTTTGACCTGCATAAGTGTGCGAACGTTGAAGTCAGCCAGTTTGAATGATGCACGTGGTTTCAGCTTATGGTGTAATGCCATCTGATTTCGCAACCTCAAGTAGTGTCCAACAAGGCTACCCACTATCTCCATTTCTGTTTCATTTCATTGTAGATGTACTGCTGGAAATAACGTTCTCGTCGACTGAATTTTCGGGAATCGATCTGGAGGTCCACTTATCGACTTGGAATACACAGATTACATAGTCCTGTTTGATGAAGGTGCTGATAAAATGCAGAGCCTTTTGATAGAAGTCAGCAACAATGCCAGGATGTTTGTGATGCATTTTTCCCGCTGTAAATGCAAGTTGTTGCTTCAGGACTGGTCTGCGTCAACACCTGAACTAAGGATAGGGAGTGAAGTGGTCGAACGCGTTGACAATTAGACTGAATCTTCTTTGCATTGCCGAGACAATAGCCATACATTTTGAAAAACCGGAATTATGTGTACAAAAGGGACTGGTACAACTTCTTCTTCTACTATGGTCTTAATGTATTATTTTTTTTTCTCTTTCTTTATACTCTTGTTCCCTTACAGCCACCTGCTTCACCTTCCATCTTCCCTTCAAATCTTCTACCTCCAACCGGTTTGTTTTTATTTTCACGATCATTCCGATTACATTTCAACATTTTATTTTATTTTATCATGCTCAGCCATCCTTACACCATGAATACTTAAGCCATTAACTATCAAACGATTATTATACTTTCCTTGTTTTAAAAATCTTTCTAATACCTTTGTTTATTTAACCTCGCTCTCACCATGTATAACAGAAGTCTATTATCAGTATTATTATCACCCTGTAAAAATAACTATATATGTTTGCAATTGAGTGAAGTAGTCGAACGCGTTGACAACTTCACTTATCTTGGAAGTCTGATCAGCCCTAATGGGCTGGTGTCTGACGAAATCTCAGCACGGATTCGAAAAGCTCGTTTGGCTTTTGTCAACTTACGTCACCTATGGTGAAGGTGAGATATCTGTCTATCAATAAAAGAACGAGTATACTGCGCGGCAGTAAGTTCTGTTGCAATTTACGGCAGCGAAACATGGTCATTAAGAGTAGAAGACACTCGTAAGCTATTAGTATTTGACCACAGATGCCTTAGAAATATTGCTGGCGTCTGCTGGGATCACCGGGTAAGTAATAGTGAGGTTAGACGCAGGGTATTAGGGAATGATGGTAAATCAGTTGATGAGGTTGTGAATCTTCATCGACTGAGATGGTTGGGCCACGTGTTACGTATGCCCGAACACCGATTACAACGATGCGCAATGCTGACTAGTGTAGGGGATGGTTAGAAGAAAGTTAGGGGTGGCCAAACCAAAATGTGGAATCGGTCCTTGAAGTTACTGAATTTCGGTTTCAGCCATGCTGGTAGATGAAGACTACATGATTGGGGTCCATGTGACTATTGTAACCAATGTTTGGAGACTCTGTGTGACATGGCTCAAAATCAGTCACAATGGCGTAGGTGTATGCACTCTTTTTCTTCCCTTAAATCGTGGAATTAAAATTGCTTCATACCTTTCTGTGTTTTCATTCAGTAATTTATATTTTCTTGAGTCGTACCTTCGATGCCTAATTTTTTCTGTTACTGTTAATACCTCTACTATCCTAGGACTTGACCTGACGATTTCATCTATATTTGCTAATGGGGTATGGTATATACACACGTACCAAGTTCTACGTTGCGACTGACAATCTAACTAGAAACTCATACAATAAACAACTTACTGTTAGGTTAACTTTCAAATCAGCTTTCTCATCACTACATGCATTGCTGCCAACTTGATTTGTATTTTCATCAAAACTCAATGTTGTCAAATTACTCAAAGGTCTATATTGGGAAGAAAAAAAGTGAAAACTCAGGTATAATGTGAGTTTCATAAAGACGATATTATATTCATTCAAACTGCTTAAATTATCGAGAAAAAAATGTTTAAATAATCGCGTAAGCTTGTTTTGATCTGCGACAACAATTCCATGCTTTTTCAATTTCTAACTGGTGCACTACGCAAGAGAGAGGACCAAAATCTGTGCTACAAAAACAAACATTGACGTTATTGTGATATTTCTAACCTACAAATACGTAATTCTTCACTTGTGTTAACGTCTCATAGAATGAGTTGTTGTAAGGAGTTAAAAGCCAGTCAAAACTCTGAAACCTAATTAAATGGAATCAGTACTAGGAACTAAACATCAAAATGTCAACAGTGACACAGAGTTCATATTATCGAAACTATATATAAACAGTTCTACCGAAAATTATTGTTTACTGTATAGTTACTAAATACTGGAATTATTGTATCTTTGTATTTTCCCAGTGGTAAGCTTTCGCTTGGCTCATAAACCATTGTTGTATTTTTAACCTTTCTCAAGTTATCGTTAGTTAATTACAAACCTATCACTAAGTTTCATTCCACATGTGTTCTCATCCTACTTTTGTTGTCAGGATGTGAGCGTATGGAAACAGGACACTGACAAATACGCATTAAGATTATCGTGGCCTCAATTCAGGGTTGATCCTGCCAATCAAAGCGTATTAATGGGTCAAAGCTTAGGGGCCTAGGCTATAGACGAAACAATACAGGTGGGAAACAGAAATATTATACGATTCTTATTGACTAATCATGTCAAATAATATCGATCTAATGCTGATTTGTCATTCATTACAAAAAGAAACCCTACATTATAATTACATGACAATTCACACAGTTTAAATGCTTGAATACATAAAATCTTTACTGTATTTCAAAGATTTTACTTAGTAACGAGAAGAAAATGAACACTAAACCAGAAGTACTCACGAGAGTTGAAATATTCCACAGCTTTACGACATCGCTTTTGAAAAATTGTGATTTTTCAATTGATCAGATTTATATTTCTATACCAATGCATTGGCTGTTTTAAGCTTTTTTTAAGCTTATTGGATATGAAAACCAGTCGTCATAGAAAACAGAATTGTATTCACTTTTAAGATAAGGTGATGGTTGGAGGTGGTCGACCACTGAGTAGTGATCATTCAACTGTAAACTTTTGAAATAACACTGCGAAATTTGAATGGTTATTTATGTATCAATAATTGGCAACCTCTCAAACTGTAGGATCTAATAAGTCTGAATGCTACAATAGATCAACAAACAAACTAATAACCATCCTAATTAAACCAGTTGTAAATATTTTGCTGTTAATCATGGAATGAATAGTATGGAACGCTGTGAAACTGACAATGTAACAAGTGTACTATCAAAAATGCACAATTCAATAATTTTAATCAACGTTTTTAGAAAGTCTTATCTATAAAATTTACAAACTTAGCTAATATGAAACAAATGTTTAAAAAAAATAACATACGCAGAACTCTCCAACGCTTTATGACGTAATGTTGGTCGACTCTTGGTCGATGACTTTTCAATTCGACGCTTTTTCCATTGGTTAACAACTTTTATAGGTTGTGATGGTGTGGATCGTTTGACAGAATGTTGAAGTCCGATCGGTAAGGAAATGTATAAAATTGATTTGAAGCGATTTAAATAACTGAACCTGCTTGAACATATATGCCGAAAATCATCTAAGATTTTTTGAAAAGGAGACATCACTTCCATTGGGAATGAAAATGGATTCAGTGAAAACATACTAAGACGTTTGAATAAGGCATCTGGTAAATCAGTCGACTGAATATTTAATTCTCCTTCAGAAGCAAATGAACCATTTTGTGGACATGGGAATTTTGGCACTTTATATCAGCAAACAAAAATAAAACAACTATGAGTAAATTAATGTTGGCTACAAAAGAAATTAAAAGACTAAAATACATGCGTTGTTATCTAAGTAGTGATTATAGAAGTGCAGAAATATCTGAGTTATGGTAAAATTTAAAGAGATGACATGCAGGTAGCTAACCTAACGCTCTATTTAACTGACCTGTGACACACCTATTAAGTAGAATTCAAATTTCAATACATATGCGGTGCGTGCTACTTATATTGATATAAGTAGTATATAACGTGAGTTAAAAGAACGTAATGTCTGGCAGCAGAACATGGGGACGATCAAGAAAGGAAGAGCGAGAACACAATGGAATTTGTAAGAAATCGCATGAACAATGAAATGTGAGACAATGGATTGATGTTGGCAACAGCAACAGTCCAGTTTGATATGATGGAATGATATTGTGCAAATTAACGATTTACCATATGGTTTTTCTATTTTACCAAGTAACTTTACGCCTATGGAAAGTATCAGATTCCTTAAATATTTATATTCATTTAATAAACTTTATTGTATTCGGTACGTATTCGGCAGTGGAATTCAGAACGCATATTACGTCCTATCCAGGACATGTCAGTGAGAGCTACTTGTATTCCAATGTTGATGTTTACACTAAGACTTGAACCTAATAATAACCGCTTGACACACACATCATGTTATGATCCAGTGAACTACAAATTGTTATTAATAACCACTGAATAAACTTTGGAGCTCAAGAAAAACAAAGTAATTCCATTCGAATGAGACGAAAAATAATAAGAGGATTATATTAAAATTTGTTTGTCGTACAAAAAAATAATAATGCGTTCGTTCTATAATCAGACATGTGTTTCAACGTATTTACCTAAGCATACAATTATTTGGTGCCTAGCCTGACATAGTTGAAACTAGTCTAGATCAGATTAAGCGACCTGGTATTAACTGTATATATACACGTCTTTTTTAACTATCGTTTAGCTGAATGCATTCAATTCACAAGAAATATTCACTAGTCAATTCTATAACTTAGTTCAACAATCTATGCTCCCGGTAACTTATTTATTGTTGGGCATAATTGCACAGAAGTTTACAATGTATATCTCTCAATACCTCGGACATTTTCTTACCTGGACATAGTGAAACTATAGTTTAACTGACGGCCTTCAGTGACTTGCATAACCTTGAGAAAGCGAAGCCAATACTCAGCCAATCAGAATGGTGATATCGATGAGTAAACTGTCACATGAACCCCCACCACAAAAAATATATATATTAGGGCTAAGATCAAAAGTTTATGTTAGAATTCCGTCCTAAGATTTAGATTTTAAATTAGAAGTTGAGTTGAGGATTAAGAGTTGGTATTAACTGGTTGGGAACAGCGTGCATCAATTTTTACAGTACCTTTAAAAACTCCTAAATCATGTAGCAATGTTATAAACACTAATTGTTTTTTATTCACTACTATTTTTTCCGTGAAAAAACTAACCACTTTATAATGGTCATTGTAAGAATCCGTTAAGTTCATTCTTATTCTTTCGTCTTCTAATATTTGATAATTTTAAGCATCTTCATGACTAATTACTGGCAAATTGTACTTAGCTCTTGATAGAATACAAGCTATCTGTCTTTGAGTTTTTAATTTCGCAGGAAAACGCAATACCACTATCACAAATCATACTGGTTCATCAATCAAAGAGTACTTTGATGCACAACATTCAAATCATAAAGTTGGAAAACATTACAACCATCTGTGACAGGATTACAAATCAGTTCCAGAGAAGTGAAGATTTTGGTGTTGAAATTGGATTTCAAAGTGAACCAGACTATTTATGTGATTTATAGCAAAGTAATCCAATAAATATAAAGAATTTTTATCTTCACATGTAAGTAGGAATTGCCAATTTTCAAATAGAGCTCTAATATACTCTGATTAGCTGTTGTCTAGGTGTCTTTGGATTATTCCAACTATTGATCGACAATTAATTTGAAATTAATATCTCATAAAAAGCGATTAACTGTCAAAAAGTCTGCTTCAAAACACCAAGCTTTCATTTACTTGTCATTAACAACTTTAAACAAACAAATACAGATAATATAAAAAGTTTCTTACATGACCATAATTTCGCAAATCGATTAATTAGATATTCGACCATTTCACGAGTTTGTTTCAGTGTATTAGGATGCTTCACTTTAGATAATAAAAACAGTGGAGCAATACAGTGTTCATCAAAGTTTTCTGTAATATCACATCCACGTCGTGAACATAAACGTGAATTCAATTGAATAGCAGCGGCCAATGCTAAAAATACACCTATTTTTTCAGTAGCGATTTTATTCGCATTTTGAAGTTGTTCAATTAATAAATGGGAATTCTGATTAGAATTTTCACTTTTCTTGCTCGTATTGACAAAGTTTAAAATTCTGTCTAAACTAATATGAAAAATAATTATAAAAATTGAGTAAACGACTTGCTTTCTTACAAATAACTGACGAAAAAACCTCGCTTTTGGATACGACAGAAGCCATATTTATCTATTTGTTTAAACACATAAACGTTGGCACAAAGAGACACCAATATATATATATATATATATATATATATATATATATATATATATATATATATATGCCACACAAAATAGTTATCACTCAATTTGTGTGTAGGCTAGGATATTGTCTGGGTGCCTAAACCGAGGCAGATGATTTTCTTAAGGAGCCACTCCCCAAACACTTGATCAAGAAGTCTAGTCCAAAGGGCAGTGGAGCAACGTTAAGAGATGCGGTCCCATGGTAGCAGATGACCAAGAATAAATTCATACGCCATTCGACCCTTCAGGACACTGAATTGATATGCAACATAGATTTGAAATCAGGGTTTTCCAACTACTCTAGATAGATCTTCTATACCCACCAACCCGACTTATGCGCCAGACATTGGCTTTTCGCCCTCTCAATTTCGTAAACAAACCCACTGCCAGAAGGCAGTGGCTATATACGCGTGGTCATATGGTCATTTCGAGAGGAGAGAATCCTCATCACCCTCAACCGTACCAGGGCATTTGGGTGCTATAGATATATAATCTTTTCGTACAGATAAAGTTCATTCGACTTCTTAATTCAACATGGTCTTCGTTCACTTAGTTACTGCATTTCCTTTTATTCAAATTTAATTTATGATTACATTTACGTGATCTACATACTTCAATGATCTGATCAACTAATTTTATTTGAATCCACTTTTTAATTAGTAATTTTACCAAATAATAATAAACATTTATATTTAATTGCTTAATTCTCGAACTTAATTCTTATTCTTAAGTAATAAACTTAAAATAATTAACTGACGACATAATCTTATCCTTAGATCTGATCTTATATCTGTTACGTTGCTAACTGACTACTGTTTTAGAGAGAACACTGTCGAATTGACCAACCAACACCTCGTACTTGGTATTGATTTCAGACTTGAATACAAAACTTGTATTTCAGTGTAGAACCTTGAAATAAAGAATTAGTTGAAAAGAAATGCTTTTTCGCTTAACTTTTCATTTTTAATGTCTGGATGAGAAAACATACTGAATCATACAAGTGTCAATAAAAGTAACTTCGTACTTGTAAATAGATATAACGAGAGAGGCCTACTGTATTACTGGAAAAAATGAAAACTTCTTAACTAAGAGAATTCTGTTTTCGGTGATGCCATTTGCTTAAACTGTACAACCGTATTTATAATTATCAGGTGATTAGTGGTGGTTGACAGCAAACCCTGGATTACAATTTCATGATACACGGCATTGGTCACGTGCAGCGACGAACAAATAATCATTCACGGTTGTCTAAATAGGCAAAAGAATTGACTTAAATGTTTGGATCAGCAACTTGTACATAACTAAGGCCATAGCAACCTATCAGCTCAAATCTGATCCTTACATACAAGAACTATATTCAATGTCGTTTACCAATATAAAACACACTGAATATTATCCAGTTATTCAGAGCTAAAATTGGAAATTATATTTTGCTAAGATAACAGGTTATTTAACTTTTTTCACTGAGTGTTGAGTTCTTTTGTGTGATGACATCCCTAAGTCCATTTTATTCTAAATTATATTTTCGTATGACCTATTTATTTATTTATTTTAACACATAAATATTGGTACAAGGAGGCACCAAATACATATGCGCCACACAAATCTCATTCGATATGTGTGAGGGCTGTGATACTGCCCGGGTGCCCAAACCGAAGTAGGTGGTTTTCTTAGGGGTCCACTCCCCGAGCCTTCGACCTGAAGGTCTGATCCACAAGGCAGTGGAGCATCATAAGGAGATGCAGTCCCATGAAAGCCGATGACCAACGATTGGTTCATACGCCATTTGTCCCCTCAGGATGCTGGAGCCCATGTACACCATTGGTTTGGAATCCGGTTAAAGCGCCAGACATTCGCTTTTCGTCTTCTCATTTTCGTAAACAACACCCCCGCCACGAGAAGGCAGTGAGCAGGACTTCCCTGGCAGAGACTATATACGCGTGGCCGTGTGAGAGCATTTCGAGAGGGAGAGCGGACTCTCCCCACTCTCGGCCGTACCAGGGCATTTGGGGGCGTATGACCTATTTACTCATCCCTGATTGGTTGTTTCCAAGTTCCCTGTGCTAATTTCCTGTGCTCTGGAGTCGTTTTTGTTATTTTCTGATGCTCTGTGAATATATCACGTGACTTATCGTCAATTAGAACACCAACTTGTTGATCAGACCAATGACGTATAAACCAGTAAGAGCGACATGGAGTCAATCTGAGTTCTTACTACTCCATAGAGATATTAGCTTCTCACCCAACCAATTCGGTTTAATCTAAAATACTAATATCAGCGTCCGCTATAAAAATCATGTATTTCAGAAATACTTCGTTTATATACAAGCAAATCAGAACCCATTATACCATAAAACAGAAAATAACAACCACACAAGATCAGGCACAAAAGTGGCTGAGATTGTGAGATACTGCAAATAATACATTCAGAATAACTTACATACTTACTTACATAGGCCTGTTATTCCTCGTGAAGAAGCATGGGTCGCCCATCAGCATTCTTCATCGAACTCTGTCCTGGACAATCCTTCCCAGTAGTTTCCACTTGTTATTCATCCTTTTCATATCTGCTTCTAACTCCCAACTCTGTGTTTTTTAGTCTTCCTTTTTTCTGTTTCCCTTTAGGATCCAAGTTAGCACTTGTTTCGTGATTCGGTTTGATGATTTTCACAACGTATGTCCTATCCTCTTCCATCATCTCTCCTTAATTTCCTCTTGTTTGTTGTTTTGAGTTCCAGATCTTTCTCAACTGTAGGAGTGTTACTCTCACTTTGCCAATCCTCATCTTTACATCTGCATCGGATGCTCCTTGTTTACAGATGATGCTGTCCACCTGTTCCAGAGCTCCTTCATCAAGTATGATTGCTTTGGTGTTCTCTGTGATGATTTTCAATATCTTGCATTTTCCCCTGTGTATGTTGAGGCCTACTGATGCAGAGGCTTCTGCTACACTGACTGTCTTCACCTGAATTTGTTCGTGTGTATGAGATAGAAGAGCTATATCGTTTGCGAAATCCAAATCGTCTGGCTGCATCCGAGCTGTCTATTGTATTCCATGCTTACCCCAGATATAGAGGTCTTCATAATCCAGTCGACTACCAGAAGAAAGAGATAGCGGAGACTAAGCATACTTGTCTGACTGTGGTCCTCAATTGGAATGCATCTATCACCTTTCCTCCATGCACAACTTTGCAGTGAAGTTCGTCGTATGAATTCCGGATGATGTTAACGATCCCCTCAGGTACACCATAGTGTCGAAAAAGAGTCCGTAAGGTTCTCCTATCCATGCTGTCAAATGCTTTCTCGTAGTCATGGAAGCTGATATATAGTGACGAGTTCCATTCAATTGATTGTTCAACGATGATCCGTAGTGTTGTAACTTGGTCTCTGCACGACTGATCCTTAAGGAATCCGGGATGTTGGTCTCGAAGCTGGTAGGCGTCGACTGAATCTTTCATTCGACTCAACAACACTGTTGAAAACGCTTCCTGGTGCCGACAGTAGTGTGATGGCTCCAAAGCTGAGTCCTAATACTCGCTGGGACCTCCTTTATTGATTTATTGACGATGTATCCTTTTTCCCAGTTTAATTGGTAGGACTTCTTGGTCTCCCAGCGTTGGATGTCGGTTTAGTGGTTTGGAGATTGTGTCGGCGCTCAAGTGGAAACACTGGGTCCGAGTCTCAGATCCAGGGTTGTGAATGGTCAGCGGTAAGTAGTTCTAGACTAGGGTAAGATGATCGACTGGTACTTCCATGTTTTCAATGGCGGTCTTAATATGATCAATGAGCGAGCTGACAAGTGAAATAATTCTTTTGAAAGACAATAATTACACAAAATATTCAATACATTGGTGTAACATACCATGTTAAAAGATCTAGAAAGGCGCCAGACGACAAGTCAGATAGATTTGGTAATGGTTGTCCACAAACCAACGAAGAAAAAAACCGATAAACCTGTGCATAAGGTAAATATATAGGGTCTGGATCTCGTTTATTGATTTTACGACATTCTACACTTTCCCACGTAGAAGCTCGCTGGAGAACCTGAAATATGTTACAAGAGGATTTCACAATACTAGTTATGAATACATTATGACTAATGACTTCTTACGGCGACTTTAATGTCTTACCCGTACAATTCTTAGTTGCTAGCAGGAAGAATACCCCTACAACTGGCGATACAGTACATTTCAGTGGACTTTATTAACTGAGTATATATATATATATATATATATATATATATATATATATATATATATATATATATATATATGGGTCAGTGATTAAGATTTCATAAGTTCAATCATTGTGACCATCCTTGCCTCTCCACGTACTTCAATTTGGGAAACCGAGTAGCAGCATTTGTGCCTCAAAACCAAGTACACAAATTTGTATCTGGTAAACGATCCAACAATATATGATAAATAACACCAATGGCTTTTACATGATGTTTTAGGTTTGAGTGGAAAGTTTTTAGTTGTAAGAAATGGTCATCCTACATACTCTTTGCAGGTGAACATTGTCAAAAGATCTATAGTCCAACGGATTTCAATGCTATATCCTAGTTCTACTTATTTGGATATTACAGATACAAAATTTTGGTCATAAATGTCAATGACTTAAAAATACAGATTGAACAGAAAATGATCATGAGGCTTTATTAATGGACTGTGCGGGGAGTGTGACCCAGCTTAGTATTGGAAGCGTTAATTATGAAAATCTAAGCTCAGTTCAGGCGAAGATACAAACGGAGGTAAAAGTATATGTCTTGGTGAATTGTCTTATGTTATTCTTTCAAACATATCAATTTTTAAATTATTTATCAAGTACAGGATTATGTACTTAATTTTCGATCAGATTTTTTGGTGAGTTAAGATAACTATACTATTCAGTTTCTTGAACCAAAGTAAACAGGAGATGCAGTCCAAACTGACAACTGAATTACTGGGGATTGGATGCTTTAACCATTAAGCCACCTACTTATTACAGTAATAATTAGATAAAAACATGAGAATATGCATTGCTATGTAAACGACATACTTCATTTAATGCCATACTATAATTATAGTATTCAGTACAACTGTGTCTAGTTATTTGTAATAAAATCTGTGTAAAGAAAAAATCTGGTATTAAGTAATGATAGAAATTCTACATCAATTGATCCTTCAGGTTTAACTTCCGGTACAGTAATTTGTGGATCTAAAACAAGAAAAATTATGTTTATAAGTATTGGTTAATACAAATTATTGTTTACCCTGTAAATTCTTCTCATCTACATCCATAAGGCAAGCTATAAGTTCTCTAATCTAAAAGTTAATCAGAACTTTAGTGAATCAAATAAAGGTTGCTTAGTAATATAAAAAATAGCTTTTAAAACTACATAAAATAATAAACTAGTAGAATGATATTATTAACAACCAAAAAAGTTCTCACGTAAACTCTAAAAGAATTTCGTAAATTCTTTTCCAGTTAATTATAAGTATACTCCTACTTCCCGGTTCTCAATGTTTTTTGTTCCTTATGATTTTTGCTGTTCCGAACTCAACTTCATTGACTAATAATAATATTAAGTAAAACTGTTTATAATATCGTTACTAATTGTAACTAGGCCACTATCAGTTGATGAGCAGACTCCAAGTATAATGAATTCCCTCTATTCTGTAAATTTTATTGTGCTTAATTTGTTGAAATTCATTGAAGAACTAGGTTTTCAACTTACTGTACAAACCAAAGGTTTTTTTAATTAGACCCAGGCTTTCAGTACAGCAAGAAACTAAATGCTGAAAAAGATCAACAGCTAGTATTAGGTTAATATTTCGAGCTTATCGGTGGTTATGAGTAACTGTTATCTCAACGAAATCTAAGATTCCTCTAAAACTTAAGGATCGGTAGAAATGTAACAACCTGTAAGTACATTTTTAATTGTAGTACAAATTATGAACCTCACTTTTAAAGAGCGATTTTTTATTCCCGACACTCAACAATGATAGGTTTTTAAAATCATCATAGGGATTTCCTACCAACAGGTTGAAATATACCGGATATCAAGTATAGTTAATCTGAACGTTATTAGTTCAGAAAATGCACTTTATTCAGCGACCAGTGGATTACAGTCAGCGTTCAATCTAAAAAAAAATCCAACTAAAACAGTCGAAAAACTACTTCTATATATATTACAAAAACCGATATTATTGAAGAAACGTATCCAAAGTATAAAAACTCACCTCTGTTTTCTTTTTTGTCTGTATGAATTCAGCTAATTCACGTGTTGAAAATGAACGATCTCTAATAGAATTGCAATTTAAATTGAAGTTAGGACTAACCTTTTTAACGCACTCAGTAATAAACTTAATTCAGAATCTGACCATTCTGATGTAACATAATTCAACTTTGTTAAGGATGGAAGCATTGAGTATGATTTATATAATATGATTTATCTTATGTTTTCAATGTTGAAATTATAAAATACCAGTGATTTATATGAAACTTCCGATACCAATAAGACAAAATAAATTCTTTGTACTTGGCTGTGAAGTGAAATAAATAAAAAGTAGATTACAACAGACGAATGAATACATTTTTAGTGATAAAATTATACATGAATAACAGAATTTTAAACCCAACATTACTTCAAAATAGCTCTGTAATGTGTAAAGTTAGGAAATAGTGATAAAACCAGGATACTTAACGAAACTCAAAAAATATGCATATGACTTTCGCAAGATTGAATGTTAATTAGGGTGAGTAGTGATCACTTATTCCGATTAAATCTAGTTGAAAAATACATTTGATTTATGTGTAAGCCTGTAGTTTCAACAAACGGTAACACTGGAGACCGCAGGCAAATAAATTTATAAATTAGAAGATACCAGTGCTTAATAAATTTGCTTGATCTAAGAAGCCCCCAAATAACCTGGTATGGCCGAGAGTGGGGAGAGTCCGCTCTCCCTCTCGAAATGCTCTCACACGGCCACGCGTATATAGTCTCTGCCAGGGAAGTCCTGCTCACTGCCTTCTCGTGGCGGGGGTGTTGTTTACGAAAATGAGAAGACGAAAAGCGAATGTCTGGCGCTTTAACCGGATTCCAAACCAATGGTGTACATGGGCTCCAGCATCCTGAGGGGACAAATGGCGTATGAACCAATCGTTGGTCATCGGCTTTCATGGGACTGCATCTCCTTATGATGCTCCACTGCCTTGTGGATCAGACCTTCAGGTCGAAGGCTCGGGGAGTGGACCCCTAAGAAAACCACCTACTTCGGTTTGGGCACCCGGGCAGTATCACAGCCCTCACACATATCGAATGAGATTTGTGTGGCGCATATGTATTTGGTGCCTCCTTGTACCAATATTTATGTGTTAAAATAAATAAATAAATAGGTCATACGAAAATATAATTTAGAATAAAATGGACTTAGGGATGTCATCACACAAAAGAACTCAACACTCAGTGAAAAAAGTTAAATAACCTGTTATCTTAGCAAAATATAATTTCCAATTTTAGCTCTGAATAACTGGATAATATTCAGTGTGTTTTATATTGGTAAACGACATTGAATATAGTTCTTGTATGTAAGGATCAGATTTGAGCTGATAGGTTGCTATGGCCTTAGTTATGTACAAGTTGCTGATCCAAACATTTAAGTCAATTCTTTTGCCTATTTAGACAACCGTGAATGATTATTTGTTCGTCGCTGCACGTGACCAATGCCGTGTATCATGAAATTGTAATCCAGGGTTTGCTGTCAACCACCACTAATCACCTGATAATTATAAATACGGTTGTACAGTTTAAGCAAATGGCATCACCGAAAACAGAATTCTCTTAGTTAAGAAGTTTTCATTTTTTCCAGTAATACAGTAGGCCTCTCTCGTTATATCTATTTACAAGTACGAAGTTACTTTTATTGACACTTGTATGATTCAGTATGTTTTCTCATCCAGACATTAAAAATGAAAAGTTAAGCGAAAAAGCATTTCTTTTCAACTAATTCTTTATTTCAAGGTTCTACACTGAAATACAAGTTTTGTATTCAAGTCTGAAATCAATACCAAGTACGAGGTGTTGGTTGGTCAATTCGACAGTGTTCTCTCTAAAACAGTAGTCAGTTAGCAACGTAACAGATATAAGATCAGATCTAAGGATAAGATTATGTCGTCAGTTAATTATTTTAAGTTTATTACTTAAGAATAAGAATTAAGTTCGAGAATTAAGCAATTAAATATAAATGTTTATTATTATTTGGTAAAATTACTAATTAAAAAGTGGATTCAAATAAAATTAGTTGATCAGATCATTGAAGTATGTAGATCACGTAAATGTAATCATAAATTAAATTTGAATAAAAGGAAATGCAGTAACTAAGTGAACGAAGACCATGTTGAATTAAGAAGTCGAATGAACTTTATCTGTACGAAAAGATTATATATCTATAGCACCCAAATGCCCTGGTACGGTTGAGGGTGATGAGGATTCTCTCCTCTCGAAATGACCATATGACCACGCGTATATAGCCACTGCCTTCTGGCAGTGGGTTTGTTTACGAAATTGAGAGGGCGAAAAGCCAATGTCTGGCGCATAAGTCGGGTTGGTGGGTATAGAAGATCTATCTAGAGTAGTTGGAAAACCCTGATTTCAAATCTATGTTGCATATCAATTCAGTGTCCTGAAGGGTCGAATGGCGTATGAATTTATTCTTGGTCATCTGCTACCATGGGACCGCATCTCTTAACGTTGCTCCACTGCCCTTTGGACTAGACTTCTTGATCAAGTGTTTGGGGAGTGGCTCCTTAAGAAAATCATCTGCCTCGGTTTAGGCACCCAGACAATATCCTAGCCTACACACAAATTGAGTGATAACTATTTTGTGTGGCATATATATATATATATATATATATATATATATATATATATATATATATATTGGTGTCTCTTTGTGCCAACGTTTATGTGTTTAAACAAATAGATAAATATGGCTTCTGTCGTATCCAAAAGCGAGGTTTTTTCGTCAGTTATTTGTAAGAAAGCAAGTCGTTTACTCAATTTTTATAATTATTTTTCATATTAGTTTAGACAGAATTTTAAACTTTGTCAATACGAGCAAGAAAAGTGAAAATTCTAATCAGAATTCCCATTTATTAATTGAACAACTTCAAAATGCGAATAAAATCGCTACTGAAAAAATGGTGGTGACTTTCTAACTAAGGAACTGACGACGTTGTTTACAAAGGTTTGGGAGCTAAAGAGTGTACCAATGTCATGGACTGAGTCGATAGTTGTCCCTATCTTTAAAAAAAGGTTCACGTCGTTCATGTAACAACTATCGGGGGATAAGTCCACTTCCGATTGCGTCCAAGCTATTGGCTTCCGTCATACTTCGTAGGTTGTTCAAAACCCAAGATTGACTCGCGAGGAGCACGCTGGGTTTCGTTCCGGTCGAGGACGTATTGATCATATCTGCTTACTTACTTACTTACGCCTATTACTCCTCGTGAAGGAGCATAGGCCACTCACCAGCATTCTCCATCCAACCCTGTCCTGGGCAATCCTTTCTAGCTCCGTCCAGTTGTAATTCATCCTTTTCATATCTGCTTCTATTATCCGACGCAATGTGTTCTTTGGCCTTCCTCTTTTTCGCTTCCCTTCAGGATTCCAAGTTAGGGCTTGCCTCGTGATGCAGTTTGACGATTTGCGTAATGTATGTCCTATCCATTTCCATCGTCTTTTCCTAATTTCTTCTTCAGCTGGAAGTTGCTTTGTTCTCTCCCACAGAAGGCTATTGCTGATGGTATCCGGCCAATGGATGTTGAGTATCTTGCGTAGGCAGCTATTTATAAATACTTGTACTTTCTTGATGGTGGTTGTTGTAGTTCTCCAAGTTTCAGCTCCATACAGTAGAACTGCCTTGACGTTCGTATTGAAGATTCTCACTTTGATATTGGTTGAAAGTTGTTTTGAGTTCCATATGTTCTTCAATTGTAGGAATGCGACCCTTGCTTTGCCGATCCTCGCCTTTACGTCTGCATCTGAACCTCCTTGTTCATCGATGATGCTTCCTAGGTATGTGAAGGACTCTACATCTTCCAGAGTTTCGCCATCAAGAGTGATTGGATTGCTGTTTTCCGCTTTGAATTTGAGGACCTTGGTTTTCCCTTTGTGTATGCTGAGGCCTACTGATGCAGAGACTGCTGCTACACTGGCTGTCTTCATCTGCATCTGTTCGTGTGTACGTGATAGGAGGGCTAGGTCGTCTGCGAAGTCCAAATCGTCTAATTGATTCTGAGCTGTCCATTGTATTCCGTGTTTTCCTTCAGATGTCGAGGTCTTCATAATCCAGTCGACCACCAGAAGAAAGAGGAAGGGAGAGAGTAAACAGCCTTGTCTGACTCCAGTCCTTACTTGGAATGCATCTGTCAGCTGTCCTCCATGCACTACTTTGCACTGTAGTCCGTCGTATGAGTTCCGGATAATGTTGACAATCTTCTCAGGAACTCCGTAGTGTCGAAGAAGTTTCCATAATGTCCTCCTATCTACACTGTCGAATGCCTTTTCATAATCAATGAAGTTGATGTATAGTGATGAGTTCCACTCAACTGATTGTTCGACGATGATCCGTAGTGTTGCAATTTGGTCTGTGCACGACCGATCCTTACGGAATCCAGCTTGTTGATCTCGAAGTTGGGCGTCTACTGCATCCTTCATCCGGTTCAGCAACACTCTGTTGAAGACTTTCCCTGGTATTGACAGTAGTGTAATGCCTCTGTAGTTTTCACATTTGCTCAGATCTCCTTTCTTTGGAATCTTGACGAGGTGTCCTTCTTTCCAGTCCATCGGCACTTGTTCCTCCTCCCAAATCTTTTTGAATAGAAGGTAAGCATGCTTGTGGTTGCTTCGATGTCTGATTTCAGTGCTTCAGCTGGTATGTTGTCGGGTCCTGCTGCTTTCCCGTTCTTGATTTGTCTGACGGCCATTCTAATTTCTTCCGTCGTTGGTGGGTTGACATCTATAGGAAGATCTATGTGTGCTGCTTCGATGTCCGGTGGATTCATTGGAGCCGGCCTATTCAGGAGTTCCTCGAAGTATTCCACCCATCTGTTACGCTGTTGTTGAATTTCGGTGATTGGCTTGCCTTCTTTGTCTTTGACCGGCCTCTCTGGTTTACTGTATTTCCCTGCTAGTTTCTTCGTTGTATCGTAAAGCTGTTTCATATTTCCTTCTCTAGCAGCTTTTTCTGCCGTCGTTGCTAGTTCTTCCACGTATTTCTTCTTGTCGGCTCTAATGCTCCTCTTCACTTGTTTGTTTGCTTCTATGTATTCAGCTTGTGCTTGGACTTTCTCTGCTCGTGTTCGGCTGTTGTTAATTGCTGCCTTCTTGTTCTTCCTTTCTTTGATCTTGTCCAGTGTTTCTAT